ACTCTAATCCCCAGAATGGGGGTGTCACAGAGGTGTGACATCGTTATACTGATGTGGGAGTCGTTAGTTAGGACTCTGTCACAAACTGAAGGCTGGAATGGATGGATAAACCTAAAGATGGAAAAGCTGGTGTTTTTGTGTGAGTCAAAATGGGTATGTGCAGCATTATGAGCAGGGCCAGCCCAAGCCTTGGAGCAGGATAAGTTCTCCTGTGTCCTGACTCTGCAGACGTGACTCCAGCGTGGTAGAGGAAATGCCTCTAAGTGAGATATCAGTTTGTTCATTCAAACATTGGTATTTTCTACTTTGAACTGTGTGATGGTTTTGTGGTTTGGGTACTGGTCCTCTAAGACTTACAGAGTTGTGTTTGAGTCCCAGTGGATCCTTCTGTCAGAGAATGCAGATTTAATATTCAGGTTATGATCTTTATTTACTGCTCTTGTTCCACATTACCTCCTAGGGGCATCGCAGACATTAAAGAAAATTTATGTGTTGTATCAGGTTACAGGATTATGATTAGAAAATAAAAGCATCAGTTTTCTAAAGAGAGAAAAAGGAACAAGCCCTCCATTTGTTCAGCAGGGCAGAAATTGAAAATTGGGTAATGCAGCCAATTCTGCTGTCTCAGAACTCTTTCAGCAGAGTTTGGAATATTTTTCTCTCCTAGGCAAAGCATATTTTACTCTTGGCTGCAAGCAAAACCTGGAAGTGAGCTGTGGGTCATTTTAGAATTAAATCCTTTCTTAAAGCTTAATTTGTGATCTGGAGAGCTGAGCAAGAACCAAAAAGCCTCTAAACATTTCAGCAGTTGCTGGCTTCCCCAGGTTAATACTGAGTTCTCCCCGTCACAGGACAGGGAATTTTCTCCTCGTACTTGTGTACATCTGTAAGCCAGTCACACATGAAAACAATAACCCAGGGCATAAGGAAAAGAGTCAATAAGGAAATTTATATATAGCTGCTATTAAACTGGAGGAAAACAAATGATCTGTTGGGGTCGGTTTGGCTGGGAAATCAATTTGAGCAGAGTTTTATTGTCGGCCCTGCTCGATCCTTCGTGCTGTTTGCTTGCACCTTTAATGGCTGTGAGTGAGGGGTTTTTTTTTTTTTACACTTGTGAGTCTGAGCTCCCTGGATCATTGTGTTTGTTCCCTTTTCAACATCCACGTTCCCAGTTGTCATAAATGCTACCTGAAAGTGCTCGAAGTCCATTTCCCCGTGGGGCTCTGGGGAGTTTTGGATGCTCATATTAACCAGTTGGGCTGTAGCACCGGATAAATACAAACATCTGACCTGTAAAAACACCTCTGTGTGCTTTGCATGAGGCTGCTGAGACCAAACCTCTTCGCGTATGGCCACACAAGCATCAAGTTAATTATAAAATAATAAGGTGAAGAAGTTAAGAGTGCTAATGTATTAATCAAAATAACAATAAAAATGTAAATACAGAGAGGCAAATGAGACGTGGGATTAATTTAAAAAAAAAATCACTGACAAGGAATTGATTCATTTTCTTAGTCTAAAAAAGTGCTCTCCTTAAGTTTTACCTTTAAATGCATGATAAACTAACTGTTGTATTGCTATTGATACTTTAATATAGTTTTTAAAACTTCAGTTAATCCTAAGAGGCTTGATAATGTCTTATTGTTTACTAACCCATAGTGCAAACTCTTTTTTTGTTGGTGGGAGGTGCAGACATTTAAAATACTTGCTCTCACATTCTATTCTTGCCCAATCTAATTGTCTGATGATTTAAAATAATCATGGAGCTTCAATTAAAAAAAGGCTATTCCAATTATTAAGCACTTATGTTCCTCTTTGTAGCCTGATTTTGAATTCTATCTCCTCCTATTGCAGTTATTTAAATCTTTTCAGGGAACAGGAAACTCCTGGTTCTCTCTTTCCTGTAGAGAAGACTCAAGACTATGTGCATTGCTGCCCATTGTGATGCCTTTGCTGTTTCATGCTTTGTAATGTGAATTTTCTCTATGTTTTTTTTCTCTTTGCTGGATTTTCAGACTCTTCCAATTAAATAATAAAATACAGTAATTGAGCTGCTCTGGTGTTCCAAAATGTAAATTGGGGCTGAATTCTGCTTGGACACCACTTAGCACACAGTTTAAGTTTTACATTATATTCTGGGAATGCATATGGAAAGAAATTAATCCAGAGGTCCAAATCTCCAGTTATTCCTCCCAGCTGCACCTCAGCCTTGGGCTGGGACCACAGGGCAGGCTACCTTAACTCTTACTGTATCTTAAATCCACTGATTTAAACTAGAATTCATCCTTTGAAATCCACTGGAACTTGGAAGTCATCTGAACAAGGTGTTTTCTTCAGTTGGCTTCAAGACTCCCACCCCTTTTCAAAGCCACCTCTCTAACAGGTAGGGCAGAAAAACAAACAAAAAAAGATTGCATTAAGATTTAAAATTTTGACAGCCCAGCTGCTCCCAGGCCAGCAAAGAAAGGTGATGCCGTGTCCTGTGCTGGTAATTTTCTTTTTTTTATTACATTTTATCTTATTCTGGTGTGGGATTAAAGGTGCCTGAAACGTTGTGTTCCCCTGATTATTCATCTCCCTCCATTTCCAGGCGCTCTGTACAATTTTTAGGCAGCTTTGGGAGCCCTGGGGATTAGAAAAGGTGTATGAATGTTTTATAATGTTATTGATAACTGTGCAGCAGATGCTTTCCTAATAAACTGCTGTGAGATAAGTTACTGGTAGCATGTGCACAGATGTGTGCAAATGAGCTCAAAAGAATTAGTACTGTGTTAGAGGAAAGCTTTTTTTTAAAAGCACATCTGTATTGGAGCATGTAGGATTGTTTCAGCCTTCCCCGAGAATCTGTTACAGCACAAATTACCATAATTTATTAGGGGGGAAAAAGCCATTTCTGTTAATCACATATTAATTATTCATAAAATCAGTATTAATGTTACCTTAATGGGAAGTGTTACCAGCTGGGGTACTGGGCTCGGAGATCTACTCACATATTAAAAAAAGATGAATAGCTTGACTTAAAAAGAAGACATAAAAATGACTTATGAGAGCATAAAAGCAGAAAGTCTGAGTATATACAAGTTATAGAGCTGGTTACAGCAGAGAAGTTCAGCCTGCTAAGCACTTTGTGTTTTGGCTCTAGCACTGGTTTGTGCCACAGTGGAATTCAAGTGGAATTACTGAGGGATGTTAATTACAAACAAGCCCTGTATCCTTTCCCCTAATGCTTTTCAGCTCTTCACCAACATGGATGTGAGTAAAATAGACTCTTTCCTTTTCTCCTTGAAATAAATAAACCTCTTTAAAAAAAAAAAAAATCCAAACCCTCCAGCAACTTATTTTAGTAATTTAACTTCAGGATAAATTCTTCCTGCTGGGAGAAAAAAAAAAAACTAAAACCCCCCCAAACCTAACTTTTTAGTGTTTTCAAAAGGCTATTGTGAACCATCTAAAATATGAATATGCTGCTCTGTGTTCAACCCAGAAGGAACTCAATTAAAGGAGGATGTCAACATTAGATTATGACTCAGGACTTAAAGGTCTGTTTTCATGGAAGCTTAGCAAAATCATAAGCAGAATGAATTTTCCAAAATTTATTTTAATTAAAACTTGTTGGGGATTTTTTGTAGTTGGTTGGTTGGTTGGTTTATTTTGGTTTGGTTTTTTTGTTTGTTTGTTTGGGTTTTTGGTGTTTTTTGGGTGTTTTGTTGTGGGGGTTTTTTTTGGTGGTTTTTTTGTGTGTGTGTGTTTTTATTATTATTATTATTTTTTTTTTTTCCCAGCTATTGAAAGTTCTCTTGCAGAAATGCAAACCCCAAGAGGAAGGGCACTGGCTAAAGCATGAAAATATGTAATGCCAGTAAAGTACAGCTAGTTTTATGTGAACAGTAAAAGCTTTATAGGATTCAGCTGATATTAAATTGTTTAGATCAGCTCTGGAGCTTTTTTTATTAGGATAGCAAAATGTTGAACTTATAAACACATTTTCTTTACATGTTAAGATAAAAGACCATTTATTAGTAGAAGGTTTTTTTTTTTAATGACAGTTACAATCTTTAGTGTGTGATCTGTAAGATAAAATCTGATGAATTTTGGCCAAAGCCGTGGAAGAGAAGCATTTGGAGTGGGAAACCAACCCAAAAGAAACAGGAAAAAAATAATTTTAAAAAATTGCATGGCTTTCAGCGAGTCCAGGAAACCTAGACCTGATCTGAGAACAAGGCACAGAGCTGGGTGGTCTAAAACTGAACTGATGTTCAAGAATCTTAAGTAATTATGATTGTATCTCTGGGTCTCATTGATATTCTTTCCAAGTTGTGGGTGAGTCTGTGGCACGCAATCAGTTGTAATGCCTAACTCTGATCGGTGTAGATAAAAGATTAGGCTGTTTTGCAGTTTAGTTTTGGTTGTTTTGTTTTTTTTTTTTCATTCAGATTTCAGTTTCAAAGCAATGTGGTGAAGGAGAAGTGTACCTGAGAGCAATTTTTCTGTGGAAAGCTCACCCAGTAATGTTCCAGAGGAGGCTGAATAACCATCAGCAGTAAGCTGCTGGTTATTGCTGACCATGGCTACCGGGAGCTCCCTGTACATAATCCATCCCAGCACTGGCACAAGAAAATGTTATCAGACTTCTGGTAATGATAAAACTTCAGCATTATAACAAATAGGCAGTACTGCTGTTTTGTTCTGTGTTTTAGTGCATGGAATATATTTCATTGCTTACCCTGGAGCAGTGGATCAAAACCATCTGCAGTGCTGCCTCCAGTCCAACAGAGAATCTGAGTTCATTTTCCATGAGGCCAGTGTGCTCCCAGACATGTGTACCAGGAGTAATCCAGCTGCTGGATGTTGATACAAGTCCAGGCTTGTATCCAGACTTTGCTCAGGAGTCTGTTCAATGGAAACCATGCTCTTAACCAAGAACTGGAACAGGGATAAACTCAATTTGCTTTTCTCTCTCCCTTCCTCCTCCTCCTCCCCCCCCATCCCCTCTGCAGCTCCATCCCCCATCACAGTCATAAGGAAGGACAGGACATCCAGGAACAGTGTGTCTCTCTCCTGGCAAGAACCTGAACATCCAAATGGGATCATCTTGGACTACGAGGTCAAATACTATGAAAAGGTGGGAGGAAAGATCAAAGGGGAGGCTCTTGACAATGCATGGTGAAATTATTGCATTTTGTCTGTGTTAAGGACTCAGAAACACCCCCATTCACTCACTGTCCCCCTCAAACTAATTAAATGTTGAAACTGTTCAATTTTTGGCGATGAGAACATTGAAATTGTTATGATGTGTTGTCTACCAAGTTCATCCCCCAAATGAACAAACATAGGAAATAATGCACTCAATTCCTTTGTTTTCTTTCTTTCTGGAGTACATTTTGCTTTCTCAGTTCTATTGGGCTGTCAGGGTTCACACTGATCTATCAGCAACCCTGTGCTGGTCCTTCCCTGTGGCTCAAATAACTTGTACACAAAAACTGTTTGAAAAATGATGGCTTGTGCTTTGGGCTGGTTTCCACTATGACAGTTCACACTCTTCATCAGTAACTGAATTCTTCACAAATTGTAAGTAAATAACTAAAGTGAATGAATCTGCCATTAAATAGGTTCTGCCTTTTGCTGACGTCTTCTTGTATAAATCAACAGCTGTTTATTTGTACATCCTGTACAGATCTGTATTTAGGAAAACAGATCTTAATAATAGAATGTTTCTTTTAGTAAATCTTACTGGTAGAATTGAAAATCCATAAATTGTTGTGAAGAGTGGTATTAGCCACTTTTTGTTAGATCACAGAGACCTTTTGACAGAGTATATTGCTGCTGAAGTTAACAAACTCTGAAAAAAATGTCAGAATTAGTGGCTTAATTGAACATTCTCTAATGCTCTTCATATCTAGTAATCAGACTTGTATTTGACAGGTACCAGAGAAGATGTAGGACTGATACCCTCTTAGAAAATGGTGTTAAAAATACTCCATGAGTATTCAGTTAATCCACAGAAAGTTTTCTCTCAGAGCTGACTAGGGGACAATGTGGCATTGAAAGTCCACACTTGATCTTGAAGAATGATGATCAGAAGGTCATATGCTGAAAAATTTCTCCCAAATTTTGGGAGTGTGATTTTGGGAGGAGTTTTTCTCTGGTGAGCACTTCAACCTTCAAAGACCTTGGTAAAAATGTGGACTTTTAACTTAGATTTTTTTCTGTTTCGGTGGGGATAGGATCAAGTCCAGATCCTGGGCTTGAGAAATCAAGGAGAACCAGCTCATACTTCTCCTTCCCCAGCTTTGTACGCTCAGCGTGGTGTCAGTGCAAACCCAAAACCACCTACCAGCTCCTCTGAAGAAAATTAATCCTACCCCAGCCAAAACCAGCACAGGTGATCTCCTGTGCTTTAGTTGCTCCCAAGGGAGAGATCTTTTATCCCCTGCTGTGTGCATTCAGTTCGTTTTAATTAAATCACCAATGAGTTTTATTGGTGTGTTTGTTGATTTTGGATGTTCTGATCATCATTCTACACTGAAATTGGGGTTTTTCTGTTCAGGAAAGCTGTCCCCTTCCAGTGCTGTTGTGTGCACAGACAGAGCATGAAGCCATTCCCACCGGGTGTATCCACTCTTGTGGAACAACTGGTTGTCATGAGACAGCTTTATAAGACAACCAACCAGTCTTGGGGAGCTGATCTTGCACATGTGTTTCTTCCCTTTGAAGTCTGTAATCAGGAGTTCACATGCACCAGACAGTTTTCTTAAACCAGAGAGAGCCAACATGCTTGACAAAAGGAGCCAGACCATTTAGAGCAGAAAGGCTTTTAAAAAAAAACCAACTTTAAAAAAAAAAAAAACAACCTTCTGGCACCAGTGTTTTTTTTAATGTGTGTTCTGCAGTCTGCTGGGCAGTCAGAAGCCTATTTCTCAGGGTTTATGAGAGGAAAAAAAAAAAAGGCCAATCTATTATCAGGAGACTTTTAATCTCTTGTCCTTTTAAGCTTTGCAAATTATAATAGGTATAAAACTAATGCTCTGTTAAATTTACTTGAGGCTGGGGCAGCCTGTTCTAGACTGCTACTCTTTATCCCTTCTCCAAACACCTTTGGAAGATGGTGCTTTTTTAATCAGAAATCTCTAAGCATGCCTTCTTCACTCCTTTTTTTTTTTTTTTTTGAAAAGAGATCTTTCTTTATAAACCAGTCCAGCCTGTTTGCTTTTCTGCTCCAGGAATCCCCTTGGTTGTGCTCATCAGAAACCCCACGGCTGTAGAGTGGCAACTGCTAGGAAATAAACCCTTCCCGTTTAGCAATCTGGATATTTCCCCTGACGAGTCACATCTGATTGCTGGTAGATGGTTTACGTGGAGCCATTCTTTTCCATCCTACTCGGTTTTAGTTGACATACCCTTTGTAATCTCTTAGAAATTCAAAGATAGAGCATTTAATAGAGTAGTACAGGTCGGCCCAATTCTGTCATACACCTTGTTTGTGAAATTATTTTGCTGTGCTGTTCTTAAACTTCAAAGAATGCGTCATATTTATGGGCAGCTTCATGGCACTGGTATTTAAGATGTTAGAACAGATTTGGGATAAGAACAGAATGTCATGTTTGTAAATTATGATGCTGTGTAGTTTTTCTAATGCACTATTCAGATAAAATATATGGAAAATATTTATTTTCTGCAAGGAGAATTAAATAACCCGTTCAGTGGGTTTTTTTCATCAATGAATGCACTTGTGTAGCTGAGAGAGTAGAGCTTTATATGTTTGTAGGGAAAGCAGAAATTGCGATTTTGGGAAACCGTTTTAACTTTTTGGAATGAATCGAAGCGGTTTGGGGTGGAAGGGTCCTTACAGACCACCTAGTTCCAAGTCCCTGCTCTAGGCAGGGACACTTTCCATGAGCCCATGTTGCCCAAAGCCCCATCCAACCTGGCCTTAAACACTTCACAGAATTATGAACTGAGAGTGGCAGTTTTTTTGGACTCATTGTTTGAAATCGAATTGTATAGTTGGTAAATCTTCGGAGGCCGATTATGAAGCCCCAGTCACCATTTATTCAAAACATTTAAAAGAAATAAAATCTTCTTTCAGGGAGATACAGTATGGCACATCTAGGCATTCGTTTTCTGGCAAGGGATAACATTTTATTATAAGTTAATTGTATTAAATAACACACCATTTTAATCCATCCATACAATGCTGTGCTGAATTCTGAGTGTCTGAGCTATCAAAGCACACAAATAAAAAAGCCTTGTTTTTTTTTTTTCTTACACAAGCCACATACATTATTCCCTCCTCGTCCTTGTGCACATAATTATGTTCTCTTGAAGGAGTATCTTGTCATGGAAAGATACAGAAAAAAAAACCCTCTCCTAAATACCACTCATAAACTATTAATTGTTTCAATTAAATACACTGCTTACAATTATGCCAGCCAAATCCCACACACTTTATTAAGGTGAAGTCTTCTGCAAGCAGTGAGTGAAGTTTAGTTGCAGTCTCTCGTTGCTGAAAGAGATTTGGTTTTGCCATCATAGAAATTATGTGCTCAGTAAAGTGGTTAAAACCAACACATAATTGTGCACTTTGTGCTCTTTCTGAGGCTGATAAAGTAAGTTATATCCAAATGCACTTGGTTGCTTTTTAAACTCTCATTATTCTGGCTTTTAGAGTAGGTAGGCCATGTATGCTCCATGAGATTTGCAGGAAATGTTATATCAGTGAAGATTTCCCACCTGGCTATAAGGGAAGCAGCATCAGGACTGTGGATCCCTCCCAAAGATGTGTAGCCAGGTTTTGGCCTTTTAAGTATATATGAAGCTGCTGGAACAAAATGGTATGTAATATAAGCACTTTCTGTGCTTATCTGAAAAATAAAGGACATACCGATCACTAGTATTGCCACTATAAATTTAAAATGTCCTCCAAATATGTGTTTTATAAAACGTTATAAAATGTCATTTGCAAATGAGACACCAACAGTGGTGGGCTTTGCTTCCCAGTAAAGTCTGGCAAACTGTGCAGAAACATTCAGGAAGAATATGCTTTGTGCATCCAAGCTCCAATTCATCAGCAGAGCGTTTGATTGAAGTTCTGCCCTTGCAAAGACCGGCTCTCCTTTTTTTGTGTACCCCTTCTGCTTTTGTGGCAGCTGTGGGGCTGTATCTCTGAAGTTTTGCTTTATCCCCGAGAAAGATAAACTCGGGCTTTTATGTGGTGTTGCGCTGATTTGATTACGGGTAACATAAAAAATGACTTACAAAATATGTGTGTAAAAAGCTTCCCATAAACTGAGATACCGTGACATCCTCCATACCATTGTTTCAAACGTTTATTTTCCGAGTTCCATCGAGGATTATTAACAGACAGGGCCATGACTATTTTTTCCCTTGCACATTTGTATCTGCAGCAGAAAGAAATGTTTGCATTTCAGAAAAGGGGCCCGGAGCGAGATCAAAATGAATGTCCAGTCACAGCATACACAAAAGATTTTGTGTTTTAAAGACAAGATTATTATGTCTTTGAAATTAAAATAGTGGCCTACATTCAGCTGAACGAGGAGATAAGGGAAGCCTGCAAGTTATAATACCAGGCCTTTGTAAGTTCAAAAAAATAACTAATTTTACTCAAGCCTTTTAGCTCTTTAGAGTGTCTTCCCGTAAATTTTCTCCCCTGAATTTATAACAGAAAACTTTTTAGAGAAGTCTTGGGAAACTCTGAGGAGGTCTGATGCTGATTTCCTTTTTATTTTTAGTGTGCCCAGAAAATGGCCACGGTAAACACTTTTATAGCCATTCTTTGAAGGCTGGGTTCAGCTTGCTCTATCTGAGGTTTTGATTCTGGATGTTAACTTTTAGGGACAAGCTTAGCTGCTCTGTTTGATTCCTGTTTTGGTTTTGGTTTGGGATTTTTTTGTTTGTTTGGTGGGGTTTTTTTGTTTTGTTTTCCTTTTTTCCCTTCACTGTGATTTCTCATGTGCATAATGTTGAATATTATGTGGAGATTCTGGCAATTTCCCTAATAATGGTGTAAACGTTTCTGTTTCTCTATATCAAAGACCGCCCAAAACAGGGTATTTGGGCTTCTTTAGCACCCAAGTGAACAGTTTCTGATGTCTGCCTGCCAACTTGGAATATCCCAGCTCTGTTACTGTGGACAGCACTGCAGAGTAAACACACTCAAACAACTCCAGTCACCTGAACTTTACACCTGAAGGTGAAAAGGCTCTGGCAGTGAGTGTGTGGAGGGTTTTCCAACCTCTGTCCCTGTGCATGGGCACTCCAGTGTTGTCAAAGTTAAAATATCAGACCCTCACAAGTTAATGCAACGCCACAAAAAAAAAAAGAAAAAAATACAAAAAACCGGGAATTAGGTGAGATTCTTTGCATCCGACAGGCCTTAACTCAGTTTCTGTTTTCAAGCAGGCAAAACTCAATGGGCTCAGTGTTTTTGCAAGAGTGTTCAAAGGGAAAAGGACAGCATGTGAAATCCCCACCACCTCCAGAATAAAAAAGCTCGAGCTGGGGAACCTAAACAATTGAGATTCTCACAGCTTCCCACATGTGTGGCTGCTGGCCAAGGTTTTTTTTTTTTTTCTGAGACAGTTCCAGCTGCCATATTGAAGAAGCCAAAAATGCTCTTTTGGTACAGGATGGCTTTAGTAAAATAAGCAATACCTCAGGCTCCAAAAGCAGGCTTAAATTTTAAGATTATGTGCTTACAGTGGGGCTGAGGCACACTTTTACGAGAATTAGCTTTTTACACAGTGTGAAGTGTATCCAAACGTACTAAATTACAAGATAGTCCTCTTCTTACTTTATATAGAAAGTCATTATGTCAAAAATAGGTGGCTATTTGGCAGAGTGGGGTTGGGAGTGTAGTCCGGGAGAGAGTTCAGGGAGTTTTTTGCCCAAATGAGGATGAGCACATCAATCTTACAGCTTTTATAGCATAATAGAAAATCAGTTAAATTCACCTTTTCACTCAGCTGAGGACCCTGAGTGGAGTTTTTCTTCTGACTGTTACGAAGGTAACCACTTGTCTGCTAAAATGCAAGGCAGTAAAAACTGTGTCCTCCAAACATCTCTGCAGGGCCCTAAAATGTCCAAGTTGGCCTGTCACAACTTGCAGTTCGGTACATTAGGCTAACCTGGTTTACATTTTTTTCAAAATAACGTTCTTAGTAATTTTCTTGTTTTATTACAGACTATGGCCAAAATTATGCAAAGCCATTTAATAAAATGTCGTATACTCAGCATGTCTAGTATTCAGTTTGCAGCATAAGGCCATAGAAAATCTAATGGTTTCGATCTCTTGCTCAGAGGTGATTGAAAATGAATGTTTATGCAAGCGTTTGTCAGGCTATAAATATTCCAAAATATGCCAGTTCTCCCCAGCTCATTTGCACTAATTTAGTGCCCAACACCTCTTGTTTCTGGGGGGGTTTTTTAGGGTGTGGTTTTAATATGATAATTTCTCTTCCCAAAAGCAGGAACAAGAGACAAGCTACACTATTCTGAGAGCCAAAGGCACCAACGTCACCATCAGTGGCCTCAAACCTGACACCACCTACGTCTTCCAAATCCGAGCCCGGACTGCAGCTGGATATGGGACAAACAGCCGCAAGTTTGAGTTTGAAACCAGTCCAGACTGTATGTATCTGTTCAAATGCTCCATCCTGACAGCCTGCCAGGTTTCTGACTGATTTGAATGGCTGCTTTCACTCCTTTTCTCCTTTAGGAAATATGTCTCATTACTGTTTAGGATGTGTCTTTCTCGGTGGTATTGCTGGATAACTTTATATTTTATCGTTAAACTTGAAACACACTATAAAGAGTAAACCACAACTATCACAGGTGGCATTTTCCTCCATTCCCTACCCTAATTCTGCCTCATGCCAGGATCCATACCTTGCTAGACCAGGGATCTTGTTGAGAGAGGAACTTTGTGAGGAAAACAGATTCACAACCTCACACTGTTCCAAATTTGTGGGCTGAACCCCATGGACTGTAAACCTCTTCTCCTGGAGAATTGATGTTAGATTGGTCCACTGCTCCTGTGTAATTCCTGTGTTACTGCAGGGTGCTGATGTGTCTGTGTAGCCCTGAGATGAAACACATGCACAGGCTGGGAAGGATGTTGGTTCAGTCGAGTTGCTGGTCAGCAAGTTGAGCTGTTTGGGTCCCTTCTCTCTGTCAGTGCATTTCTGGGTGGTCCTGGGTAGTTATTTAGTAGCCTGGCACTCCTTTTGCTTTAATATGTAGATAATAACATTACTTGACTGATGATGACCTTATAGATGTCCTTTACAAGCTTGGTTGTTGTATCAGAAAGGCTCTTAATAGAGTTCAGAGTCTTAAATGTTGCTTTCTCATCGCTTGGTATTATATGGTTCATCAGACCTTCTCTTTGCTAGAAGCTGAAAGTGGTTTAATGCATCAAAAATCAGCCTTGGCTGAGGTGCCCAGTTACTGATACGGACTGATGATGAATAATCAAAGATTTTTTTGCTTTGTGGAAGGTCAGGCTTTCGCTGAAGGCTCTTATCTGCTGCTCAGGTTTATAACACAAGTGAGGACTGTAATTCTGATACGCTCTCCTAAGGCTTATTCATGTACTCATGATGAGGCTCGAGCACTCATGGCCTACAGAGTGCTGTGCTAAAAGCAACACATCCTACAAGAAGAGCAGCATCAAGCCAAATGGTCTCTCACTTGGCTTAACGTGTTTTTTTGAGATAGATTAAGTATCTCATCCCCATTTCTTCCACCTCAGCTCTAATTCTGCAAAGCAAACAAGCTTCACGTTTAAAAAAAATAGATACAAATTGCTTTTATGATGACTAGAAACTTCAGCATTCCAGTTGAAAGCAGAACACAAGATAGGGCAAAGAGTTACAGCAAGGAGAAAAAAAAACCTGTTGCAGAGATGAAAAATTTATCCCCTTAGAGTTTAATGGGTTTTCTCTGCGAAGTAATGCAACAAAAAAAATAAGGAAAAAAAAAGGAAACAAAGCAGAAATGTGGAAGGTGACAGGAGACAAGGGTGCCTATCTCAAGTTTGAACAACAAATTGCATAACTTTGTTCCTGTTGCCAAATTGTGAGTGCAGTTGCAGGTCTGTAATAGGTGGAGGGCAGGAATGTTGTGACTCCAGGGCAGAAAACAGCCTTTATTTTTCCTTTAGGCATGGATTACCCACGGATAGTCCTTTCACAACCTTCATGTGGATGTTGCCAGGGTTAACTGGGAAACTTAACTCCTTAAAACCCTTTCCAAGGGGAAGTAAGGGTGATGATTATTGACTGGCTGGGGTTTCTTGCCAAGGAGAAATTCCTTCTGACCACGTCAAAATACGTGTGTGTCACAGCATGTATGTTTGTGGTTATGTGTTACATGTGTATATAAATATCAGTTTACCAGCAGTTGCTGCAGTCAGCAAGCAAAAATTCAGCAGTAGCAGAAACAACTTTGGTACGTTGTCAGAAGTGGCCAGAGCCTTATGTTTTCTTCCCTTGTATTTATTTGTCTGATGAAAAATTATGTAGCAGGTTAAATACCTGACAGGAGACCAAATGCCACGGAGTGATGACTTAACCTGTCTGTTTGCTATATACATACCAGTTGTGGTGTGATCACTGCTATGTGTGTGTGTAAGGTTATTTATACGTATTTTTGTGTTAACTTTCCAGCATTCTCCATTTCCAGTGAGAACAGCCAGGTGGTAATGATTGCCATTTCAGCAGCAGTAGCCATTATTCTGCTCACAGTTGTGGTGTACATCTTGATTGGGAGGTTAGTGGGGTTTTTTTTTTGGGTCTGATTTGCACATTTTCTCCCTCTTCCGTTTCCCTGAGGGGCTTTGATGAGCAGGGCGGGTTGGGTGCTGGTTTGCAATCTTTCCCTTTGTCCTGCTGCCCAGGAGCTCCAAATGCTGCTTCCCAGCTGGTAATGAGCCCTCTGACATCAGCAGCCCCAACCACGCAGCAGTTGTTAAAAAATGCTATAAACACATTCTTAGGCAATTGTAAAATTAAACTGTAGGGGCCAAAAATCAACAAATCCTCTCATTAGCCAATTTCCTCAAGTTCCCCGAGAACATCACATGCCCCTACAGGGCACACAGAATGTAAATATAATTAAACTTTCAAACAGGCATTTAATTGTGGAGGGAAAACATTTTATTCTGTTTCCACCCGCAGTTAACACGTAAAATTCTCTATATTACTTTTTTTCCCCCCCCCCTCTCTGTTGCTTGTAGATTCTGTGGATACAAGAAGTCCAAACATGGCACTGATGAGAAAAGACTGCACTTTGGGAATGGCCACTGTAAGTTACTGAAGCCTTTTGATGCCTCCAGATCTGTTGAATTCATCCCCTAGATAACTGGTGTTTTTCAGTTTATGTGCTGTGCATCACTGAAATGCAGAGTGTAGCTGCAGCTCCCTCTTTACCAGGTGTATAAAGTCGAAGAAATACTTTTCCCCCCCCTCAGAGCAAAATATAAAATCAATTTAAAACTGTCCTGACCACTGGAGTGACTGTGAAAATTGTTTGCTGGCCAAAGTTGACCCACTAATAATTTAATTTGGAATTATTCTAAACATATGGAGTGACACAGAGTAGTTTCTTAAATTAAGAATAACTGCTAAGCAAGTGTTTCAAATTAATGGGATTTTTTTCAAATCCAGCTCTGTTTACAAACATGTTTTGTTCAAGTCCTGGTTCCCCACTGGCAAGAATGAATATGTTTATGCTTTCATTGGGTCTCATCCAGGACTAAAAGAGCCTTTCCACTGACTTATGTTGTCTTTGCATCACAAAAATTGGACGAAACATGTTCAAAAAGCCAAACCCAAAGCCTATCTGGTTTGGATGTTTCTGTACCTATTTTGAATAAAGCTGAATGGGGCTTTAATTCGTGGCTGCTCTGGGTCGTTCAGCAATGCCCTGTGAAAGGAAAAGTGTGGAGCAACATCACATCCAGGAGATGCTCAGGGGAAGAGGCTCCATCCATACACTCTGTCAAACAGAAATAAATTGGTTTTGGAGCAGGAGAACATGAGGGGAAAATAAGTTGACAGCTTAATTCCTGATTCAGGAGCAAGGGAGGATTTCTTAGGGTTTTTTAATGGCTGCATTTTGGATTTTTTTTCATCTTTACAGGCAAAAATAACGCCCTTCATAGACACCAAGACCAAGAAATTCCTGTTTTAGGTGTCTAATGAGCATGGGTTTAATAAGGAGCAGTAGTTTGTCTTTGAAACAGCTTCAGCTGCAGATGAATGTCCTGCTAAACCACATAAACTAAGTTGAACCCTATATTTCTATTGCCTTAGCATGCTGTAAGGTGAATGTACTCGAGTGGTGCCTCCTCACCAAATATAACTGAATCAACATTTTAACGAGGGATTTACCCGCAGCAGTTGGAAATAAGAACTGCTTCCTAATCCTCGTGGCGATGGCCTGACTGTTCTCTGCCTGTTCAGGTTGTTATTGCTGTGAGTTTGGAGCCCATCCTTATCTCCAGTGACCATGAACATCCACAGCGTGTGTCTCCTTCCCCAGCACTGTCAGGGGATACTCAGGCTGGAACAGTGGATTTGCTTCCTGCAGCCCAACCAACCATTCTCAAAAAAAAAAAAAAAAAAAAAAAAAAAAAAAAAAAAAAAAAAAAAAAAAAAAAAAAAAAAAAAAAAAAAAGAATCTATAGGGTTACATGTGGCCCCATAGAATTAATGCTTCATCATCCAAATTTAATGAGGTTATAAAATAAAAGCAGCCAGTAAAAGAAGTGCCACGGACAAATAACAGGTCAGAATTCGCTCTCTTTCCTCCCACACAATGGAAAGTTGCAATCACTATTCTTAAACATGTCAGTGCTGTTAAATTCCTGCGGATTAAATTGCTTTTAATTTGGTTTTAGATATTTATGTACTGTTTTCTGAGCAGTGCCATGCTGATTCACTGTGTAGTAAGAACAGAACCAGTTACGGACCTGGTATTTCTCTCAGAAATTCTTGAAAATTATCCATTATAGACCTTGCAGGTATTTATCTGTTAGAATTTGTATGTGTGTAGGTGTGTGGCTGTTGCAGCTTTAATCTACCAAATTGCAGTCTTTCCCAGAGAATAAGAAAATTGCTCCTACGAGCTAAAAGAGGATAGAGTAACTTCCATGGCTGTCGTAAACTTTCAGCATCTTAAATACAGCAGCTGGTTTATTTCAGCCAGTTTATTCTGAATTACTTTTAAAAAGGCTCCAGCCATGAACTATTCCCCGCAGCCTTATTACAAATCCTATAATATCACTTCAAAGGAACAAAAACGTTTCACCTCCTCAGATCCTTTCCCTTTGCCTTCTTTGGCTGGGCCCTTTTTATTTTTTCGCTACCTTTAGGGCAATTCGTGCTGTTAAAATGAAAATGTAAATTATTATGTTTGCACAGAATGAGCTGTAAAGTAGTGGAGCTTAACACATGTGCACGTGTTTATTATCTGTATTTCATGACAGAACCCAGTCACTATGCAGCCTGCCCTTAATTATTAGTGTGAAGGGATTATTCTCCTTGCAGTCACCATCACCTGATCTGGGGGAACCTCTGGGGTCAGCATTAAAAACCTGAAGCCAAAAACCCCACGGTGCAGACTTTTAATTGTTATTTTTATTGGGGGGGTTGGGAGGGAGCCTGTAATGTACGTTCAGTAGGGAAGGAAAGGAGCATTTACAAGATCTTTAACCAACAGCAATATACAGCCAATTAGTTTTTGTTTTACTTGCAAGTAATTCTGTAATCACCAGGCTCTTGAAGGGAACACAGTCACGGCATTTAAGGCCGTGCACACCCAGCCCTGGTGTTCAGAACACGGCTCTTACTTTGCACTGTTTGCAAGGCAATCAGCCTGGGAACTCAGTTTTATCATTCCTTTGTCAATTCTGAGGCCCATAAATCTCCATAAAATTGATTTTTTCCCCCCATCTGTGTAATCCCAGCAAAAAAGGTTAAACTGTTCTAGGAAGAAGGTTTTAACTGTTCTAGCAGGAAGATTTCAACTGTTTTAGAAAAAAGGCCTTAACAGTTCTAGAAAGAAGGTTTTAGCTGTTCTAGCTGTCAAAATTGATGCAGTATCATAACGCCAAGCTGGAAAGGATACTCCTGAGTGGTTTAAAGCAGTGTTTATAAAAAGAGTTAACATCCTTTATGAGACCAACTGGTGTAGCTAGGAAAAGCCCAGAATACATGTCCAGGAATGCAGGTGTTGTGTCAGAAGCAGAAAACTTCAAGCTGGTTATCTCACTCTTTTGTACATAAAATATATTTCTGTTATAAAATGAATGCAGGGGCAGGCCCACAAAGGCACTGTGTCCAAACACAAGCAGTGCTGCGAGCCAGGGAGAGGGAAGGAGGTGGTGTTTTCAGCATCTTTGCTGGAGGCAAAGGTTGGGAATGGTCTCTTCCTCTCTAGCCCTGCTGGAGGAAGAGATGTGGAGAGCTTGAAACTGCCCTTAAAACCATTCAGTCCTTTGAAGCAACACTTGCCCTTGGCAAACAAACAATCCCTGGCCAGGAAACTGTAGAGGAGGACAAAATAATAACATGGATGTTTGGATGAGGACTAAGAACCAGTTTTTATTAAGAAACAACTCTCTGACATCCTTACATGTACTGGCAGATGGATTGAGTCGGGGGTGCTTTTTTTTTTCCATGTTTGGTGTTTTTAGTTTCTTTCTTGTTGGAGGACTTGGAAAGAAAATGTTTGAGTTAATGGGCTCTTCTTCTCATAGTCTTAAGAACTTTTCAGGTTGGCTGTAGCAACACATTTTGTTCTTTGCCTCCTTGTCATTACTTTGAGAAGGACAATGTAAGGCAACAACTAAGTGTAGCAACATGAGAGGGGTGAGCAGTATTTTAATGTTTAAAAAGCAGTTAAATACAACAAGAGCAGATGTACTTTAGTGTCTCTGGTTTTACTCTCTATCGAGATTCCTGAAGACCCATAAAAAGCAGTTTGATTTGGAGAATACCTTTTTCTCCTATTGATTGGGTTTCTGTTGTCTCATGAGCTTTCTTTAGAAGGATTAATTAAGTCTAAGTAACTTTTTCCTCTCTGAATTTGTTTTTCCACAGTAAAACTCCCAGGCCTGAGAACTTACGTAGATCCACACACATATGAGGATCCCAACCAAGCTGTGCATGAGTTTGCCAAGGAGCTGGATGCTTCTAATATATCCATTGACAAAGTGGTTGGAGCAGGTAGTGACCACCACCAGATATATTGAACTAAAGATACTTTTTTTTTGCTGTGTATACTGTTTTAACTCTTTGGGTTTATACTTGTGACTGAAAAAGAAAATGTTCCAAAGTCTTCAGATTAGTGGATCCTATTTACAGCTGTTTTCAGTGCATGTGAAAAGTTAAAGGCACACAGTTCTATTTTTCTTTTTTTTTTTTTTTCCTCAAAGAAAGCAAGATAGCAAGGCAGTTTTTCAAAGGACACCAAGACCACACTTGGATGCAGCACTGTTGAGAGTGAAAAAGATTGTTCAGCTTCACTTCTATGCCCCTCTTTAAAATCTGTCAGCAAAGCACAGAAAATGTGCTTTGTGAAGATGTTTTCCTTTTTTTTTTTCCCCCTTAAAAGGACTGTTGACTATTACGCCTTGGGTGGAACCACAAACTCATTTCATAGCAGTCACCATGAATCCATCATGCTGCAGTCACCTTTGGTCCTTGGATTGATTTTGGTCACTGCTTCGCATTTGAATTATTGATTTAGGAAGAAGGGGGTTGTCTGTCTGATAACTGATTTGTCTGAGCCATACAGATGCCGTGGATTGTTGGGTTTACAGAAAACAAACTGGTGAAATGAACAGATTTTGTAAGAGAGAAACCAGATTACAGAAAGTCTCATTGCACTGAGACTACATTGCAATGCAGTGTATAGTTCCTGATAGGCTGTGTGAAGTGGCAGGTTGTCTCATTAAGTCAGAAGATCAGGAAGTGGTAGCTTTCCTGCTACATTAAAGCATTTTTGGGAAATGCTATTGATTTTTAACCCAGTTCTTTTGTTATTGATTTTTTTTTTCTCTCCAAATACATGATTTGAATCACGAGATGTGGGAGAGGCAGGCTGACAGTGCAGAGCAAAAGATTTTCAGTTAGAAAAATGTAGAACCACACTACTGTACTCAGTGCATCTTCTGAATCACTCAGCAAAAAAAAAAAAAAAAAAAGAACCAGTGCCCATCCTCTCTTACTGAAGCTACTCAATTGTTTGTAGTTTGAAGTTAAGTTTTTGTCTGAAAAGGCTGAATTTTTGTTCCTTGCTGGTTTTAATTTTGCCCCACAAGAGTGCACTGTTCTCCACCATCTTCAGTGAAGGCAGGAAAGTTCTGCTTACTGCAGATAACAGAGAATTAGTGTAAGGACAGAGAAGGAGGTTATTGGAAAGTTAACTCCAGGAGCAGAGTCTTTGCTTGCAAGGCTTTCAGGAGCCTTTGTTCACAAATGTAAACCTTCTAAATTTGGGCTGTGTGCAGTATGTGAACCTAGAAAACAGGTTGCTAAGAATCAGTGATATGTCATGTTTTACAGTTCAGTTGTTTTGATCTATTTTTAATCAAGATACACGTTAGAATAAGAAGTAAACCAAAATTTGCCAAATATGGCCCCTGTAAATGGAGGAAGAGTTTTCTGAGAAGCTTCATAAAGGGAATATGTCCTGAAGGAGTCAGGTGTTTCAAAAGTAAGTCTCTTTGCTCCATTCCAGTGAAAACAACAGGAAATTCTGAGTTGGAAGGGACCCACAAGGATCACCAAGTCCAGATCTGAATTGAATGGCACATGTGGGGGTTGAGCCTGGCGTTATCAGCACCATGCTGTAACCAACTGAGGGTTCCTGTGGGTCCTCCACGTTGAAGCTACATGGACTCAAGATATAATAATGCCATTTTTTGGACCCCATAACTCAGATTCGCGTAGCCTGAAGTGCATATGGCATTCTAGTCAGCATTTCCTGTTAGCAGTTGGTAGAGATGCCAACAGGAAGAGCCAGGCAGGGAAGAGCAGATGAAAATCAGGGAGGAACAGATGAAAATCAGGCTGTGGAGTGCTGGGAGCTTCCAAAAATGAGTTTGTTCCTTCACACTGCTGTCACACTCAGCTCGTGGTAGCTTTTACACTCAGACTGAGCCGGCTCTGAGGCAGCTTCTTCAGGAACACTCCTTGCCTCCCCAAAAAACAGAAAGGCATTTCCTGCCTCTTGCTTGAGTCAATGCCCTGTTTGAGTGAATGACTTGGTCTTTTCCTGCCCTCGTCCTTTGCAACGCAAGTGTGAATGAAATCATAAAGCCAGACAGTGGTTTGAGAAGAAGGGGTTCATTTAACTGCGTTGGAGTGTGACGTAAGGAATGAGACCTTCAAGTCAGGCAAGTAATCTTGATATTCAGAAGTGGTTTTTCTAAGTGGTTTTCCCAGCTTTAGCAGAGGTCTCTGAGAATAAAGGGCAGCTTACACAGCTTTGAAAACACGCACACAAGTGCAGTCAGGAAATACTCTCGTCCAAAAGGACCTCAAGAAAAACTCGAGGGATTTTAATGGGAGCCTAAACATAAGAAAATTGAGGTCAGGAACCACTTTTTCAGATTTTTCTTTCCAGTAATTTTTTTTTAAATATCTCACTTGTTTTTATGGATTCAGTTCAGCAGATCATTTAAGGAGTTTAAATCAAATTGGACTGTAAGACAATACTACAGAAAGTACTTTCTTAATCTGGGGTAGATTTAAAGATGTGCTTTGCTGAACAAGGAAACAAGAATTTGCTTTTCTTTCCAAGCTAAAATATACTTGTAGCATAACATCTTGTTGATCAAAGTGTTTCAATAATTTAGGGACTACCTGTCCATGAACATACTGGGAAAGTTTGCAGTGCCCCAGTGAAGATTAGAGCATCCCTGATGTTCAGGAGGTTTAGGAAACACTGAGCTTTGATTTCTCCCCAAAGCTGAGGGAGTTCTGTGCACAGCAGTACAATCAGGATTTAAAACACAGCAAAAAGGAAAGGGAGGAGCTGATTTCAGAGTCCTCCTTTACTGGTCCCCTAAATGCACAGCAAATGCCATTCACTGTACTAAGTAGCCCATTTAAAAAGAGATTAGGGCCTCCTGAAGAGATATCTTTATACCATGAACAGTGCCCCTAAATATCTATTTACCTTCCATGTATAAATAAACACATCATCGTTGGGCAGGGCAAGTTTATGTTTGTGTGTGTAGCATAATTAAAAATAAACACCTCAGGAAGGCTTTGTATGAAAAGCCATCACCCTCATCTCTTAAAATCAGGGCTTAGAAAGGGTCCAACTTTTTTTTTTCTTGGAGCATCCTGTAGCCTTGAAGTACTTGTGGCATCTGATTAACCACTCAATTCTAAACTGTTCAGCCGTGGCTAAATGGGTTTAACTTTTCCTTCACAAAAGTTAGACCGCTATCAGATATACAATTCTGGTTTTAAATGAAGGATTGATTGCTGGACTGCTTGCTGAAATTATACGTATTTTCTGCATTGACAGGAACTGAACAATAGTTTTAAAAGCTTAGCTTTTTAGACCATTAAAACATCAAGAAAACGGACTATGAAGCTGGACTCTACAAGCTTTATTTCAAGCCTTTCCCCCCCCCCCCTTCCTTCTGTTTTCAAGATGTTCTTTGGTCTCCCTTTTTTGGGGGAGCTCTGACAGTACTGGGCTGGAGTTGGTATTTGAGCTGAAGCAGCATTTACTCTTGATAAAGTATACTAATCATTTTGGCTTGCAGAAGTTAAACAACTTGGAACTGTACTGTCACTGTTTGGTAGAAATGTACATTTTAGTGTTCACAAGAATGCACAACTATTCTGCCGTTCTGATACTTCTTGATCAGTAAATCTCCTGCTGCTGTCTCAAAGTGAGTCAACAGAAGCGCAAGGGGAATTTTCTGATCTCATTTATGCATTCCCCTGCTCAGTAAACACCACTTTTTAGGGGCTTTTGCTGGAGGCTAAGTCTCCATTCTTAAATCCCTGTGAAATAACTACATTTCAGCGTTTGTCTCTTTCCCACTCTTTTTTTTTTTCCTCAGGGGAATTTGGAGAAGTGTGCAGTGGACGCCTAAAGCTGCCTTCTAAAAAGGAAATTTCGGTGGCTATCAAAACCCTGAAAGTGGGCTACACAGAGAAGCAGAGGAGGGACTTCCTGGGGGAAGCAAGCATCATGGGACAGTTTGACCACCCCAACATCATCCGGCTAGAAGGAGTCGTCACTAAAAGTAAGATCCGACAGGGACATCTGTTTTTGCATGGGAAGTGTCATGAGGTACCTCCAAACCTAAATCATCCTGTCATTTGCTGATCATTCAAAAAAAAAAAAAAAAACCACCTCAGAAAAACACCCTAAATCATTCGTGTTTATGCTCTGCAAACTGTTTATGTTATGACCATGCCAATATGTACCAAACATCCTGCAAAAGAGATGAAACAGCAGGAACACACAGCTTATCTTTTGCAATGTGCGTTGTATTTCCTCAGAAGCAGGAAAAAACAAATTACCCATGTGAAACCCACGCTGATGGATCCAATGGGGAGTGGGGTTTGAGGCAATTGCCCACAGAGCAGCTGCACAAACCTGCACTGCCTTGCTGCTCTCAGGCTGCTGAGAACTTAGAAATGAATTTAGAGCTTACCCCAGCTTGGTGAGATGGGGAAAACTGGGCAATAAAAGTAGTGTGCTTGAAAAAAAAAATATAGCCAAGGTGGAGGAAAAAGGATGGTTTCTGAAGAACACAGAAGCTCAGTAATAAATTGACAGGTTTAATAAACTCCAAAGCTACAAATGGGTACAAAATGGCCAAGAGGCTCTGGCTGATAATCTGACAGGAGCTGTGGAGTCTGATGTGTTGAGGTTTCCTAAGTGCATTGAAGATCTCTGTTCTGCTCTCAGCTAAATCATTAGGTTTGTCATTAGCAGAAATTAATGAACAGCCTACCTGGGTGCAACAAGTGGTACCAGTAAATTATTAAATGATTCCAACCCTTTTTCCTACGTGGTTTTCATGCAGAGGAAGTACTCCATGTGGTATTCAATCTGTACCAGTGTTAGGCTTTTTAAAGATCTTGATGCTCCAGAATTTAGACATCCTAGTAAAAATCTCAAAAAAAAAAAAAAAGTCTTGGGGCTTTAAGCTGTCAGCAGTAATTTTGATTTTATTTCTGTGATTGTATAGATATGTTTACTTAAAGGCATTTTCTAAATATGCCTCTGGGTTTTTGTTATGGGTTTGATTGTTTTGGTTTTTTTAATTGCTTGGTTCGAGGTTTCACAAACATAGGTATGAAAGAATTTCATAACCTACTGCAACAGAGTATATAAAATAAAAACCCCACCAGTTTATGTCTGAAAACAGTGACAGGTGTGTAAAACCCCATGTGTTATGAAGATACATAATTGTTATTATAATAATAATTATTCATCTAGGTGTGATTCATGAAAGTCTGTTTTGCTGATTTAAATAAAAAAGAAGTTATTCTTTATCTTAGGTCTCACAGCCCTGTTAGGAATGGGCTGCCAGGTCTGCCTGTGTAAATGAAGGTTATCTCCTGCTTTGTAATGAATGACACACTCTTTGAACAGCCAGAATAAGATCTGCAGTCACGAAATCACTTGAAACACCAGCATCACTGTACACAGCTGAGCTAAAAATCTATTTTGTTACATTTTTGTATTCCTGGAGCACTTGAGAAAATAATTTAACTGCTGTACATGCAGGAATTCGTGCACTGCTCTTGAATGTGCGTTACTAATTCCATCTGTACTCTGTATAAGTGACTGTGAGTAAGTTTGCTGCTCAGCTGTCTTCACAGCAGGGTCCTTTTTTGGGGGGGGGTCAGGAGTGCCAGCTGCCTGTCACACCTCTGTGTGGGACAGCAAGCTCTGAATATTCCCAAATATTAATATAATATATAATAAGTTAATAAAAAGCCTCAGGGATACACCACCCTCTCCAGACAGCTTCAGTGCAGGAGTTGAGGAATCTGCTCTGGAGCTATTTGTCTCCATTTTGCTGCAAGTAAAGTTAATAATTTAATTTCTTTAACGTTCTGTGGGGTGATGGGAGGACAAGAAGCTTGTGGGGTTTGAATTTGGTTTAGTTTGTTTTTTTAAACGAACCAATATAATCTATTGGCAAGTTAACAAGTGTTCATATGATTTAATAATAGCCATTAAATCCCACCTAAAAGGCATTCACATATGTGCAGTCAGTAGAGAGCTCGTGGAGTATTTGATGGTTCACTCTCAGCACAGGTTATGCATGATAAATAGGAGATACGACCTTTTATTCATTAACCAAATTCTGCTTGACAGGTGGCCCTTAATAATTCTTTTGCTTTTCACACTAAACAGACTATCTGAAGCAACTCCCAATTACTGCAATTGTCACAATCCCCCTAACAGGCCCATTTTAGTATGAGAAGTCCTCAAACTGGGGTGGCTCTGACTTCTATCCTTTGCTCCAGTGCAGAGTTATTCCTCTGCTTCTCATGGATTTCTGTTCTACATATTCCTGCTGCTGCCCTGTAATAATTTAAAACGTTGCACTCAGACTGCAAGTTAGGGGCTTTTCCCTGAACTATGCATTTCTTGCTAACAAGATAAAGCACAAATATATTTATTTATTAGTTTTTACATTGTTAGATTTTTTTTTTTTATCTGTGCCATCTCCTTCATAATTCAAGAATAATGTTTTGGGCAGAGCATTTCCTGCTGGTTAATTGATGACTGTCAATTACTCATTAGTGGGATTCCCTCAGATATGAAATATCTGTCCTATGTCATATGCAAATGATACAGCACATGTGCACCACCGAAAGTAGATATTTAAACCTACTAAACCCTGCAAAGAGGACAAAGGGTTGTCTTCTCTTTATGTTAAACTTACTCTTTGAAATTACCGTTTCTCTTTTAAGTGTTTCCATATGTAGAACTTGTATTTTTGAAAAACTAACAAAAAAAAAAAAGAGTTGTTACCTTTTACTTTGCTTTGTTAATGACTTTCCTGTTTTTAGTTAAACTGGACACCTCTTTTAAGCATCATGCTGTTCAGTTTTAGGAGCTAAAATTTCACCATGACTGCTGTACAATGTGCAAGCCTTCATCATACCTTTATGGTCAGGTGCCTTCCTGCATAATATGTGAAATAATAATTCATCTCCTTAAATGACTTCATGCCCTCACCCACCTCTCCCTCTCTACCACAAAGAGAAAATAAACAAAGCTTTAGAAAATATTATGAAGCAATAAAATCCACATGTTGGTAAAATATTAGCAGGGCAGTGACCTTTGTGCATAAACGTCACCACAATCACATTAATTTTTGCATTCGTTTCTCCCCAACATGCCAGAGTTTCATGTAGGGCTTGGTTATGTTACACAATACCCCAGGATAGGAGGAATGGTTTCAAAAACTGCTCTGAATATATTTTTTAAAGATATTAGAGGAATTTCAAGGACATTAGGCTGTTTCCGTGGATGCAGAACATTCAGCTCACATCCAGTGATCCCACCACAGCAGGAGCCAGGGCTGCTTGGAAGGAGGGCTGCCCTGGAAAATAACCACGTCACAGCTCTGCTTTTCTTCCCAGTGCCCCGTGCTTTATTCTGCACTTTCCCTTCCATCTTTATCCCCACCCCAACGTTTTCCTCAGCTCATAATACTGAAGCTCCTCCTCAAAGCTGCAGCTTCCTCCTCAAAATACGCAAGCTAAATAGTTTAAATGTGTTAAAAATACCCTCCTGAGGGAGAGGGGGTTTTGCTGTTGGCTCAGTGGGCTCTGTTTATCCTCTCCCTTACCTGAGGAATGTATTTAATGTGCCCATGCAGCAGAGCAGCGTTCCACGGTCTTTGCCACCTCCGTTGTGCAGACCAGGGGGAGCATGTCTGGAATGCTTGTTTTTGCTGGTCATTATGTGTTTATTTTAAATTCCTTACCCCTGTAATCTATTTGCAGGTAAACCAGTTATGATTGTTACTGAATATATGGAAAATGGTTCCTTGGACAGCTTCCTCCGGGTAAGTGCAATAGGAAGCTCAATGGTGCAGAACTGGCTGGATTTACTGCCACTCTGCTCTGATTCATCATCAGCTCTTGTTGCCTGGTAGTTCATTATTTTCCATTTTGGTTGGTTTGGTTTGGTTGATGTGCTCAGAAAAGCCAGGTTGGGATCCTCAGGTCCATTCTGACTGCTTGCAGTAAGTGTTATTAAAAAAACAAAGACCATTTTGGTTTCACTGGTTTATCAAATCCATCTCAAAAATGAATGAAACAGAACAACATTCCGGCACACAAAAAGGAAAATTGTTTTTCTGAAGGCTGAATTACACCTGTAATGCACTTATGCTTATTGGTTGGCAGCCTCTGTGTCTTAGCAAGTGGTTTCCAAAATGAACGGATCTGTAGAAATTTTATCATTAAACCAATAGCACTGAGTCAAAAAGCTGTTTCCCCAAATATGAAAGGTTTAGGGGATAACCCCATACCTGAGGATGTTAGAAATGTTCAGCTAGCAAGGTTTATTGACCTGTTTTCTTTCTCTAACCTTAGGCACACTAATACTGTTGTTGATTTATCTTTGTTTTCTGTCAAAGTTGGTAGCGAGCCTAAAAAAATTTGAGCGCTCCTCGTGTCACCCGAGATTTACTCGTGGCAAAACAAGAAGTGCAGAAGAAATGAAATCCCATCTGAGGGGGGAAACACTAGTTTAATTTTAATTTGTTAGGGCAAAACTCAGCTGTGGCTGGGGGACTGCTCTGGTTCCGCCACGGTTGACTGACATTATCCCCCAAAACCATAACATTGAACTAGACATTTAACCCCAAAGGGTGATACATTGTCAACCTCAGTTTCAGTATGTACTGTATATGTTATGGTGTCCACTGGAGCATGTAAAATACATATAAATAATGTGTCAGTGTGGCTGAATGCTATATATCCCTGCTGAACTAGATATGTTTTGTTTAGGCTTAAGATCCTTGAAGAAAGCTCTGAGGAAAGGAGAGTAATTTCTGACTGTACAGAGCAGTTGTTCAGCTCATTCGTTCATTTGAGTGTCATTTTCTTGTTCCTCCTGGTGTGTGGAAGCATAGATAAGAAGCTTGTGACTCATTAATATCACAGGCCAATCAGGGCATATAACCCTTTTATTAAATGCCTTTTGAAACTAGTTACTTTGCTTCCCCCCTTGCCATCTGAAGGCCATCTGAACATCTGATTCTGTTCATGTTCAGAAACCTTCTGATTTCTAGCTAAACCTTTTGTAGGATCTGTGTAAATTCTCTTCATGGAGGGGAGTTCTGAGAGACTCTTGAGGCGTCTGCTGCATGTGTTTGTCCAACGTTTACAGCGCTGATATTGCCCCTAAGTATACCAGTCAAAAATGAGATGAATGCAATCAGCCTTGCAGACTGATTCACGAGAGATCACCTCACGTGGCAGAGCCAGCTCCTGTGCATTCCATAACATCCTGGAAGCAGCAGAAGGAAGAGTTGGGGAGGTGCCTGTGAGGATAAATGAATTCCCCCAGTGCTGTAAATGTGAGAGCTGCACTGTGGCACGCTGTTGTCCTACTGTCTGTGTAACTGTGCACCGATATCAAAGCTGGATCTTAACAAACGGATTAGTAGAAGCTGGGAGATTTAAACCATGCACCTAGAAGGGGATGATTAGAAATACATGCAACCAGTGGTTTCTCGGCTAAGCCACAGGGTGTTTAATTTTTTTGTGTGTGTTCCTGAAGTTGAGGAAATATTTGAGGAATTTAGTTTAAAGTTAGTGGAAATTTGAAAGCCACTGACTCAGATCAGCATTTGCTTTTGTTAAAAAAAAATTAATTCTTGTGTAATAGAAAACATTAATTAGTCTGTTGGGTAAGGCTGGGATTTTCACTGAGAATTCCTGTGGCCTTTCAGGGAAGCTGGACATCTGTTTCTCCAAAGTCCTGACGCTGCAGTCTCAGGAGTGCACACGACTTTTAGATTTATGTGCTGCTTTCACACATCTAGGTCCCATCTAGGAAATTAAAATTCTGACGGCAGCAAGAAGGGGGAAAATGAATTTTTTATATCTGAATTGCAAATCTGTCCCCCTTCCCCTGGCTGCCTGGGTGATTATCCCCCTCAGCTCGACGTGGTTCCGTTTAAATCACGGCGCCTGACTCGTGAGCTCTTCACCGGGGGAGCTGCCAGGGGCTTCATCAAAAGTTCTGCGTGGGGAGGAAAACATGAGCAGGCTCTGAAATGACATTTGCAATGTTTTTCCAGAAGCACGATGCCCAGTTCACAGTCATCCAGCTGGTGGGGATGCTCCGAGGCATCGCATCTGGCATGAAGTATCTGTCAGACATGGGTTACGTCCATCGAGATTTGGCTGCTCGTAATATCCTCATCAACAGCAACCTGGTGTGCAAAGTCTCCGATTTCGGTCTCTCTCGTGTGCTGGAAGATGACCCAGAAGCTGCTTACACCACCAGGGTGAGTTTCTGTGTTTCCTTCGTCCTTTTAAAATTCTTGTTGGTTGTGACAGAGACTGAAATGGGATGGGGGGTCCCTGAGGCTGTGTTGGAGAGGCCAGAGATGTTCAATACACCAGAGGCTCATCACAGGTCTATTTTTTATTTCATCTCTTGGAGGAAGATAGAAGGCAGAAAATATAATGGCTGTTGGTTGACTACTTTTTTGAAGTATGCAAAATTCTTGGCTCAGCTTGTTTCTTCTGCGTGTGTAAAGGAGTGAACACCATAATTAAGGCCTGAGTTGGTTTGGCACCCAATAATCTAAAACTTCATGTGTGCTTTGAGCATGTTTAGTTGCACTGCTGATTTAACTCCCACACAGTAAAAAAAAAAAAAACAAAAAACCTACCCATCTGGGTTTTTTGTGTGTGTCTTTTAGTGTGATGGGACATATGTGTGATTGGAGCTTACTGATGTCACTGTTCTTCAAGGGTGTATCAGTTCTACCTGCTATTGTACCTCCAACTGAGTAAAAACTTGAGTAAAACAAAAAAAGAAGTCTTGCTTAACAATGTAATAAACCTCCTGTACTGTCTCCTTCTTATATTATATATACAAAATGTTACCTTTCCTTTGGAGAGGTAATGATACCAAGAAGAAGACTTAGCTCTGTTTTATCTTTAGAGAAGCTTTTATCAGATAGGGGACTGTCCACAGTGTAGCCTGCTGCTTATTTCTTTTCTGAATTTTATCCTCTCTGAAAAGCTCCCTGGAAGTTAAAGTGTTAGCTTAGGAAAATTTCAGGAAAACCACAGTGTCTTCTGAGTACATTTTTGCTGCTCCTCTGGTTCTCACCTGAGTAACACTCCTGGTTTGCTGTGGGAGCCTTTAGCTTTGTGTGCATGGATATTATTACACTGGCATATCTGATTGTTCCCTTTATTGCTATTGCGAGTGGGTTTTGTTAACTTTAGAAAAAAAGGACGTTAATATCCAGTATCTCAGTCAGGAGTAATTTGCATTGCTTCCAATAATCATCTCATCTTCACTGTACAAACCAGATTAGAGTGTATCAGCACAATCTTCATGTGGATTTTCTGGGGCTTCCTTCATTCCTGAACGCTGACAGGAGCAATCAATTCTTGTGGTAGTTTCGTTGCTGTCTACTTCATGACTGCAGTAAAATTAACATGTGACAAATGAGCAAAGAAACCCTAGCTGTTTTCTTACACGTTATATACACGTACATTTATAGATATAAATATTTGTAAATCGTGCCTTCATGACTTACCAAGCATAAAGACTCTATTCTTTACCTGCCCTTTCAGTGTTTTCTTTGACATCTGATAGGCTTTGTCGTGTTGTATGGAATATGCAAAATATAGCACTTTGGAGAACTGTCTGCAGAGATCTGTCGTGGTTAATATAGGAGGCATTAGTAGGAGAAAGCAGCTTTCATGCCCAGTATAGGTTCAGCATTAATAATAAATATTCATGCAAGAATTCCTCTGAAGAAAATGACCTGCAGCCCAGCCAGAGGTGTATTGCTGAGTCAGACCCTTGCCTGCTCTATTCTTAAAAACTCTTGGGAAAGTAATGGGTGTTACTGTCCCCAGGGTAAACACTTTTAAGTGTAGTATTTTTAGTATTTATCTAGTCACAGATTTAACATCCCTCCCCCAGGAGGTACTAAAGCAATTACTCTGGGCAGTAGATTGATCTCCCCCTTAAAACACCTCCTTAGATGCATGGAGGATGCTGTTCTCTGCACCCACACCTCTCCATTCTTTTCTTTTCTAAACATTTTTTTCCCGAATTCACTGTTCTTGTTGGTCTCCTTCAGATTATTTTCAATTTCACTACATTTTCCTTAAATGTGGTGCCCAAACAGGACACTAATCTGGCCCAGTACCAAGCACAGCATATTTATCTCATGTCCCCTCTTTCCTAAGCCTACCTGCCTTTTTGCAATTAGACAGTGAAATCAGATGGAAACAACTATTTTGTGAAGTGTAATCATCTGTGTTTAGTAAACTCCATCTGGCATTTATGGTGTATGCACGAACTGCTGCAGGAAGATCCTCAGGTAATTAAAACCTTCCAGTACAACCCAGAATAAATCTAATTTCCTCAAAAGTAGTTGCTGTGCATGTACCTCTGCCACGTCCTGGCTCTGTGAGGAAAACAAAGCTATTTGCTGTGCATTTTTTGACCTAATTTCTCTCGAAGTGAATCCTGTGTGCTTTTCAGGTGTTTCCACGGGGTGTGTTTGATCCCCAGCTTAAGCAACTGGGGACCACAAGTGTGAAAGAGCTTCACTCCGCTGGCAGAGAGCTGAGTAGTTCATGTTCCTGCTGCTTAGTCATGTCACAAAGCACAGGACCATTTCCTAGGCTGCTCTCAGTGCATTTTGCAAGGCCTAATTACGTGAAAAAAAAAGCCAAGACAAAAATATTGACACTTTTTAAAACAATGGCACCATCCCAAACTATTTCATGCCTAAATATGGCACCATCCCAAATTATTTCGTGCCTTTAAAAATATAGGGTGACAACTACTTTAGAAGATCTTTCAAAAGACCAAAAAAAAAAAAAAATCTAAATTATAGCTACAATTTCAAACGTGAAAGAGTTTGTATTATATTGATGGGTACAGACTTTCCCTCCCCTCCACCTTTTCCTACTCCCAGCTGTCCATTTACTGTCAGTGTTACTAGGCAAATCTACAGTTAGCTGCAAAGATGGAGGGTTCATGTATTCAGACTCCTTTTCCGCCCTTCTTTTCCACCTGTAAATGCCTAAACCTGAGAATGATCCCTTTGCTTTGATTCATAATTGTGTGTGAGGGTTGATCTGCCCCCAAGAAGCCCAGTCAAGCCCCCCCCAGGCTTTCAACCCACACCCCTGACTGGGGGAAATTTTATGTTGTGCTGCTCTCAGAAGCAAAGTCTGAAGCTTTGCGTGAAGGATATGATCATGGATCCTTTTATATATCTCAATACTTGATATATCCCTTTGTATATCAGTGCATAATCCGTGCTATTGTACGAGAAGCGAAGATCACAAGCTCGGATGTGAAATTCAGGGGATTGGGTGTTGTGAGAGACTTTCCCACCTGACAGGGTCTTTTTTTACCTCCTGAATTATTGTCACTGACAATATACCACAAAAGGCCTTGGGCAGCCTGGGGTCTGCCTGCTAACAGAAGCAAAGCCAGGATGAGAATCAGGCTTGACTGATTGTTTGGATTTTTTTGGGGTTTTTTGTGTAGTCTTTTTTTTTTTTTTTTTTACTGAGTCTTTGTGCCTGAGGGGATGTGCTGTAATTATCTCCGTCCTCCATATCCATTCACTTTTAATTGAAAGGCCAAGATTGTATTAAAATTGTCATTGTCGAATTGATCTGTTTTATCCTTGTTATTTTTAGATGTCTGTGTGACAGGCGGGTGGACTAATGACACAGCATGAAGTGAAAGTAAATTTAAGCCATCACACTTGTAGAGGGACTGTAATTATGTCTCCCAAAGACATAACATTTGGGTAATTAGTAGAGGAACTTTGCATAGGTAGCTGCATCACTGGTATACGTGCCATTTCAGTGTAAAACCCTGTCCAGTTATTACACTTGCATGGATAATTTCTCGTTAAATGTACATCACTTCTAAAAATGCTGTGCTTGGATGGCAAATATTCCAGTACCCCCAGCTAACAGTGCCAGAGTGGGGAGGGTAAACCCACTCTGATACAGTCTGAATGTTTTGAAGGGTGTGACAGGAAGGAAAGCCCCACAAACTCTCTTGCCTGATAAGCAAAAGAGAGAGAAACAGTGCTCTGTTATCACCAGCTACTCAAGGAGGAGATAATTTCAAGATAAAATAATCATTAGGAAGGAGCTGACGAGTAGCATCAGATAATTTTCAGACATGAGAGGGTAAGTCAGGCTCATCTCCTGAACTATCCTATGTCCTGGTATAATGAATTAATGCCAGGCTTTTACCTGCGTGTTTTTCTGCAAAGTTCTTCTGGTTATTCTGTTAGAATCCACTTTTCTTGATCCCGTGGCTCAGGTGCCTGTGGCAGTCACCCTGTAGCAGATTATAAATCAGAATATTGGAATGGGTTATGATGTCCTGGAAACAGCTGCATTGTGCTGGAGTGCCAGACGTGCTAGAAATAAATCGAGGACTTCACTGGCTTTGGGTGAATTATGTGGACAGGGCAGCAATCACAGCTCCATCCACAGCAGATAAAACTTCAGGTGACTGCTGGCTCACTGATTTCAAACCCCGGGAGAGGTTCTCTGGGCTGGGATTCTGGGCTGCAATAACAAACTCCTACAATTTCTAATATTAAAGCTTTCTTTCCGCTCAAATTCAGGCGGCTCCTTTGGCTTCGTGATAAGCACGACCTGAAAGGGGGAGACCACGACAAAAATCTATAAAACCTGCATTTACCTTCAGAAAATAATCACTAGATATATTACAAGTATTAGCAGGTGTCATCACAGTAATTTAAATGTTAGGAGACTGGGGAAAAGGGGGACAAAAAATAAGAGACAAGGAAAGAAGCACCTACGGGAGCTTAGTTATCCCAGCTCCAACTCTCTGGTCTAGGAGAAAGTGTTTGGGTTTATTTATTTATTTATTTCTGTATAATAACTAACTAACTAAATATTTATTTATTATGTAAGATATCTTTGATACTGGCAAAGGATATTACAAAGAATATCCTGATTTCTGGCAGAGCAGAACAATGTTATATTTGTTCAAAGGAGTTGATTATTTCTCAAAAATAGGGTAGAGAAAGGCATTTTCTAATGCTGTGAATGATCATGGGCTTCTGATTTTAGAACAGAGTATACGAAATACAGCAAGCACCACAATTTTCAGAGCTAATGGCAGTAGAAAACCGTGCATTTAGTTTGATAAAACTCTTCAGATGTTCTGCAAATATTGATATTTGGACATCTACTAAAACGTGAATGTTGCATAATCCTTTGGGGGGACAATTGGTTTTGTGTTAAAATGCTCATTTGTCCGAAAAGTATTTACCAGACTTTTTTAATTGTTGTTTTTAAATTATTCAAAGATAACCAAATATAAGATTGACATTTTTATGATAAATTTGGGAGCAGAACAGCAAACCTGAGGTTTTGTACTCTACTCAGTAGCAGTTGATTTTTTTAACTACATTTTAATACTCTTCTTATTTTTGTCTTGCTTATGGGAATGCTACATGTATCTGTAGGCTTTTATAGGATTACAACTGAGACCTAGCACAGAAAATTTGAAATCCACTGACTCCTTGTAATGGAATCTGGGGTTGATGTACTTTCCTTTTTCACCAAAGCTGAGCCAGAAGAACTTTGTTTCACTGAGTTTGTGATCTTCCTGCAATGAAACAGACCCAACATGTTAGGAGACTAATTAATGTCATTTTTTTTTTTTGTAAATTTGTTCCTCCAATTGCGTAAATGATGTTTTGCAAGAGATTACAAAGGTAAAGGCCTTTTATAAAATATGACATTTCCTGCCCTGGTCTAAAACACTCAGATTCTAGCCCTGAGCACATTTTTGTGTGTGATATCTGGCAATTATTTCTCTAGGGTTAAGCAAGAAGGGTTTCGTTTTTGTATCTTAACATGAAATCTAAAAAGTGAGCCTGAAGCCACCTGTGGAAATTCAGGTTTTTAGCGAACCAATATTCTGAAAACTCGAAACTTGGGCCACCTTGGCCTGGCAGAGGTGGTGAGGGGTTTGTGTGAATGGAGGATATGGCATTCCCCCAGAATTGGTATTAATTATTGGAAATCAGAATTCACTATTAGCATGTGCAGAAAAAAGGTTTGAGAAAGAGATATTGATTTCTTTATCAGCCCAACATCTAAAACTCTAAGAGGGTTTGTTGTGAAAACACTGGGATACAGGAGAGCTTTCCTTGGACTCACTGAGGGACCCTGGACATTTGTAAAGAGAGTATTATATTTCTTACTAGTACAGTCATTTTTATGTTCTTGGTAATGTTCTGGAGCAGCACTGAGAATGGTGAATAAATTTATAATGAATAGAAAATACAAGGCACCTTTAATGACTGAAGAACACCATCTAACAGCTCTTCATTTGGCTTCAGTGATAAAATGGTGGTTCCAAATGCAGTCATTTATTTTCTCTGTCCTATTTGTTGGTCCAACTAGTGCATGTCTAAATTCAGCGTTTACCAAATCTTAAGGGTTGAGTGTGAAATGAAGGTTTTCCTTTTGGTAGGGAGCCTGATAAATAGAATGGGATGCATGAAAACCATATGCCAAGATAATTCCCTCCCTCACCTTTGCCAAGACTCTGAGACATATATATAGTGACATTTTGGGGGTCTAAATTATGGCCTGAGTAAGGCCTGTCTGTGTTGCTTACACCTAATTTAATTTTGGCAATATTAGACTGTATTCAGGTTTCTAATTAACACTAATAATGTCTGCATTTCTGTAGTTAACCATGCTAGTCCATGTAAAGCTGGTGAGTGTCTGGCTACCCTCAGAGCAGGTACGCTTTATGGGAGTGTAGGTAAAGCATTAATATATTTAAATCTTTTTTTTTTTTCTTGCTGGTTACTCAGTGAAAATATGAGCACTCCCTTCCCACACAGGTTTCTGTGAGGACAGGACTGTGGTATGGTGGGGCTTGGAGAGGTGCTGCAAATAGCTAGTCTAGTGTGAAATCTTCAGAATGTATTCTGTACTTGTTGTGTGTCCCTAGAATAACTGGAAACAACTTCAAACTCTTCCCATTTCCTGTATTCACTCCAGAATTTCCAGTCACAAGTTTTGCAGCGCTGTCTTTTAGAGCTCAGTTTTCTCACGCCTGACTCACAAATCAGCACTAAAAACCTCTGCCAGAGCTGGCACCACTGGAAATCCTCTAATTTTCATGTTTCAGAAACTCAACCTGAGGTTGCTTGTGCACATTTTACTAATTTAACCTGGTGGCCCATAACCAGAGAGAGATGTTCCCCCAAGTGCAGCGTTAATTGTGCTGGTACCTTCAATTTACACCAATGTAATAACAATGGAGAATCTCAGAGATAAAATAATCAATCGTGCAAAATCATCCTCGTTGCAGTGCCGTGAGTTTGACTGTTTTGTTTTGTTCTGCTCCCAGGGGGGCAAGATTCCCATCCGGTGGACGTCCCCAGAAGCCATCGCCTATCGGAAGTTCACGTCGGCCAGCGACGCCTGGAGCTACGGGATCGTCCTCTGGGAGGTGATGTCTTATGGAGAGAGACCCTACTGGGAGATGTCCAACCAAGATGTAAGTGTGGATGTCACCTGAGTGATGCTGTCAGGTGAAGAACCGAGCTGTGAAGGGAAGGGGAGCGTAACGAAAGCAGGTGGCTCCGAATTTCTGACCCCTCCTTGGCCAACTAGAAGCTCATTAGAAGTTAACAAAGAGCCACCATCTTTGTAGCAGGGTATTTTGGAGCTCTGATAGAAGATTTCATCACACTGGTGGTTTTCTGTAGGATGATTCAAAGGATTCCACTGCAGTGAGGTCATTGCCTTTTGCATTCCTTAGCTTATTGTTAGAAAGCCCTCCTAAATTTCTGTTGATCCCCTTCGGTTCCACTCGTATAATGTGCTGGAGAAGTTTTCTGTAAATGTCAAATGCACAGAAAAAATTGCTCTTGGCACTTGTGAAAAAGAGAAGCAAAGCATTTCTTACTAAGAGTTTAATGAAACCAAAATGCTTCTGGAAGTAATCAATGGATAAAAAAGAGTAGAGTGATCTGATTAGACGACTTCCAATACAGGCTTCTTTGTTACATTAGTAAACTGTCCAAGCCTGCAATCCAAATGATTAATGGATCTCTCTCTGTTTTTTTTTTTTTTTAAAGAAGCATAACATTTCCCCAAATAAGATTTTTAATATATCTATTTTGGATTCTTTTTTCTATTGCTTTATTAGTTTTAAATTTATTCCAGGGGAGTTACTTATGAACCGAATTTTCTGAAGTGCAGTCATTAATACAAATAGATTTTCCAGGGAGCTGATATATATTGTTACTAGCACTAAATTTAAAAAAAAAAAAAAGTCCATAACAGTTGTAGTCAGACATTTTCCGTAGTACTTTATATTAAACAAAGAAAAAGAGAAGAAAACTTTCTTTCAGATGAATACCTCTGGAATCCAGGTCTCTGCAGAAAACAATGCATTTCTATTAATTGGTCATGAATGTTTGTGGAGATGAATGTATCCTGTTACATGGGCTGACCTACCAGTGGAATGCCTGTAAGGATATCACATTAAAATCAGAAACAGAAGGATTAACCTATTTATGTGCCTCTCCTTCATGGCTGCTTAAATCATAAACTGTTTTCCTACCCCTGTTCTGACTCAGAATAGTTTGTCCTGCTTTTCAATCAACTGATCCAGATAAAAAGGAAAGATTAACAGAATTTGGCTTTGTCATTTTGTACTTTGAATACGTTGGGGTAGGCCTGATCAAGAGGTGTTAGATTCTAGTGAAAATGTTGTTATTAAAAAGCTTCTGAACAGCGTAAATTCTGAACTAGTCTTGTGTGTGTGTGAATTTTTTAAAAATATAGACAATCTAGGCAAATTTTATCAGACTGGGAAAATGATACAAGAATTGGGCTGGCACTGCCCAGTAGGAAGTGTTTAGTTTTCCTTCAGGTAAGTCTTAACAATGTTTTCTGGCCCTGTGAGGTCATCCCCAACATCTGCCTCTGGGTTCAGGATGTCCCCTGAGAGGGTAGGTTACTTTTCTGCAGGGTAGGTCGTTTGTTCTGCTGGTTTTTTGGGGGTGCAGTGTCCACTGATGAAGGTGGAAAGTGTGTGCTGAGGAGACAAATTCAAGACCTTTTGAAGCTCGGCATACTTAAGCAATCACCCGCTGCTAACTGCAGTTTTTTTTTTTTTTTTGTGGATTTAGCTCAACTGAGTGTGAGCTTTGGAGATCCTTTCTACACACTCACCTTCCTCAAAGTCACACCCTGTATCTTAACTCCCCTCCCTCTGTGTCTAATCTGCTGCCTGGTTTACTTTGCAGATAAACCGGAGACAATTAGTGAATAAACACGTTTGTTTAAACACGGGGATGTCCGCGTTAATGCTCCCAGAACCGATAAAAAGCGAGTCGAGTCGGTTGTAAGTGCCTTGAGGTTCTCAACAAGACTTTTCTCCTTGCGCAGGTGATTAAGGCTGTGGATGAAGGGTACCGCCTGCCGCCTCCCATGGACTGCCCAGCTGCCTTGTACCAGCTGATGCTGGACTGCTGGCAGAAAGACAGGAACAACAGGCCCAAGTTCGAGCAGATTGTCAGCATCCTGGACAAGCTGATCCGCAATCCCAGCAGCCTGAAGATAATCACCAATGCAGCGGCAAGGTGACACGTTGCTTCTTACGGTGCACGGTTACATAAACGCCTTTGATCTCTTCAGTTTCCATAATTAGGCTTTGTCTGCTTTGTTTGCTGCCTCTTCAGCTTTAAACTGTGGCTATTTGCGATCTTGAAGGCTGCAGAGTGCTTCCTGGCTGCCCCTCTGGGGGAAGGATTTGACGTTGTCATCATTTTTATTATCACTGTTATTTTTAATAATTATTTGCTATAATTTGTCCAATTTGTGAGAAGTTTTTATGCTAGAGATGTGGAACCCAGTGTAAGATTGGGCAGAGTTTTTTGAGAAAAACAGAGATGGCAGATTTGGCCTTCACGGGATCTTCCTTTTCCTTCTGACCTTTGGTGGTGTTTTAAGTGCTTTCAGTGTTTCATATGTTGCAGTTGGTCATGTTCCTTAGTGACTTTCTTAATTGGGTCCAAATACACTGTTATGCTTTTCCCTGACAAGTCACCTTAACTTTAATCACATTAATAATCTTTTTGCTTTCAGTAGGACTCACAGACTGAAAAATGCGCTTACTTCCCCTGTTCGATTAATGTGTTAACGAGGAATTAACTTTCAACCTGTGCAGTATTCCTAATTGCATAAAAAACATTCATTTTTAATCCCGGTTTTTCAACACATTCTGGAGCTTCACTACAATGAGATAATTCTTATCTCATTGAGGGAGAGCAGCTGAAGAGTGTGTTGACACCTGAGGGCATAAGGAGGATGAAAGAGGAGCTTTAGTTAAGTAGGGTTAAAGTGAATTGCTTTATACAATGAACAAAATGTCATACTCTTACTGAAGTGATGTAAAAGATGTGAAATTGCCTCCTTTTCCCTGCCCCCTGGCTTTGTGTTGCATCCTGAGCTGGAGGCTCCACGATTCTAATTACCTCCTACTGCCACTCCAGAGATGAGAAACAATATATATTGAGGGACTATGGCTTGCACACTAATTGTATTTCAAATATTTGTTTGGTGAGCATTTAACACTCAGTAAATAAACATGCTTACAGAGGCAATTATTTCTATTACCTGGCAGGTGACAGAACACCAAAACAACACATTTTGGGGGGAAAAAAAACCCCGAACTATATAAACACTATCTTCTCAGTCAGGTACATTTCTTCCAAGCATCTTGGCAAGCGATTGGTGCAAATATTTATTTTATAGGAATAAATACTACAGCCTTCTGCTGAACAGGGGGATTGGGAATCGTAACTATCTAGTTTTGGTTTGGAGATTTGACTGCAGAAACCAACGCTGCATATTTTGTGTCCCAAACAGAGGCAAAATAATTTGTTTACTGTCCTTCCAGTTACAGGTTTGAACCACAGCAGAGCTGAAAGCGATGCTGAACCTTCATTTCCATTTGTCTGTTCATAGCCAGGAAAAGCTGATCTCCTCCAGTGGGGACCGAAATTCAGTCTGAGCACTGTTTGCACCTGCTGGGGTCTGTGCAGGAGCTCCACAGCGTGACATTGTTCTCTCCTGTCTCTCTCTTGCTCTCTCTGCTCCTGTTTCATTATGCTCTTTCCTGGCACGGCTGGCAGGGAACGTGCCCTCCCTCCCTCTGCAGCAGGAGCCAGTGGTGCTGCTGGCCAGGCACTGAGCACTGGGAGGTTCAGCACCACTTTTTTTTTTTTTTTGATGGACTGACAGAGAAAAATGAGGAAGAAAAACGAGAAGCCAGACTTAAAACGGGTTTGGGTCTTGCTGCAGCCTTGTGTGCAGAAATAGGTAACTGATACCAAAGGGTGGCGAGTCGGGGCAGCTCCTTGAGAGGGAGGCACAGTGGGATTCTTGCCAGTTCTCCTCTGCTGTCAGCAGCCAGAGAGGGACAGGCATCGCTGCGGGGGTAAAGCACTCGATGACTCAGCCCCCAGGGCTCAGGGGATCGCACCAGCTCAGATGGCTGCTCTGGCTTGTTATTTGAGGCTGCAGCACTCCGGCAGCACCTCTCCTCCTACCCATAATAAGCAATTAATCTCAATCACGGGAGTCCCAGCTCTCTGTTACCCGTGTCTGTGGTGCTACTGGAGGAATGCTAGAGCTTTATGCCCACCACATGCTCATAGGTGTTCAGAAAGGACTCGGTCGAGGAAAACGTTTAACCTGACGGCGTCTGTTGCAGATGTCTCTTCTTACGGATTTTGGAGCTGATGTTTGTTTAAAATACAGCACTGTTGTATCCTATTTGAAAACATATTGCTGGAGGTGCATGGGATATCCCTGTCCTCTGGGTAGGTTGCTGTTAACTGACCTCAGCTGAAGGATGTGCTTGAGCGTACATCTGATTCCAGGGGCACAGCCCAGGCGTGTTTTACACTAATACCTCATAGGAATAGAGGAGAGGAGTCAAAGCCTTCAATTCTGTATTTCCTTTTCGGTTTTCTATCCCTTCAGGCCACTCCATAGCATCTAATAACTCCTTGATACCCGAGGGGATGTCTTTTATCCTCACTGATCCTCGCTTTGCAGACCGTTCGACGTGCTTCTGAACCTTATTTGACAAAAGGGTTTCTGTAGCCTCAGCATGGCAAACGTTTCATAATACCTTTCCCAGGGCTGTGTTTCATCTCAAATTCACATTTTTATTATTATTATTATTGTTATTTCCTTATTTTTATTCCTTGTAAAGTACAGGGGTATGGCTGATTTCTTTCTTACCTGTCCAAATTCGCTTTTTAATCAGGTGGCCACCTTGAGTTCTTTGACAGAGCCGTGGTCATGTGGGTGTCTTGTGTCCCTCAGGCTGCCTGGAGTTAACCAGCCCTGGAAGGGGCTGTAGGAACAGAGCTCAGTGCAAGCCCTGCGGTTTTCTAAAGCACAGCCTCATGGTATTTTTATTTGATTTATGTCTTGCTGTTCTTTCCTGTTTTCTGAACACGATGTTCGTTTTTCCAACAGAGTCCTTGGATATCTTCAGGGTGGAAGTGAGTTCATAGCTCTTCCAGTTTTGATCAAGTTCATTATTTTTCTCCTCGAGCTTATGTTTTTTTTTTTAGTCCCCTGTGTATTACTTCACATTTGTGAGCATTTCTTACAGATACAAAGCAGATGGAAAGTTTTTTTAGCTCAAGCTGGAGAGTCAGAATCACTTCACCCACCTGCTGGCAAGTTGGTGAGGCTGTGGTCTGAAACAGCTTGTTAGCTGTTGTTTCATTTATGTGGGGGGAAAAAAACGTAACTTGAGCCATGCAATTGGAAATATTTTGTGTACAAATCTTAAATGGACTCATGAACTTTTCTTTGTCTGTTTCATACTTTTTTTCACTTATATTTCTGATATAAATATGTGTGTGATGGCTCTCAAGAGTTAAAATGTGTCCCAAAATGAATTAAGCTGTCAGAAGGAAGATAATGTGGTCCTGAGGTATAAAGGTTGTGATACAGAATTCAGGCAGCTCAAGTGCTGTGGCAGCTTCCCTTTAGTTTGTGTGTGTGTGTTCACATCAGTCATGTAAGTGGGATTGAAGGCATTTCGTCTTCATGAACCCACTATAAAGCAGGAATAGCCCAGTTAATGCACAGCCTCTGCCAACAAAAAACATTGGGAAAAAAAGAAACCCTATGAAAATTGTTTCTGATTCCAGCAAGTGACTTTTAGAAATTCTGAATTTCTAAAATTCAGGCCAGGCCTCTGATTGCAAAACTGACACAGAATCTGCACCAAAAAAAGCCCCAACCTGCTCCTGTATTTGCTCTTGTTTCCGTATAAGCTTTTGGCAAAGTGAAAGTCAGTGCAACAAGCATTGCTGCTGTTGTTTCTTTAAACTGCAGGCACAGTATTTAGGAGAAGAGGAAAGAATTAAATTGCCAAAAAAGGGGGGAAGAGCACCTGAGAATTCAGGATGTTTCTGTATTAAGTGTCTTTTTGTTTATTTCTAGCTGTATTAATAGTTACGTCTAAGTGCGGAATTGCAAGACTTTGTCTCGTGTCAAATGCAGAAAATAAGCAGCTGATGGTCTTCTGTGTAAAAAGAGATCATCATTTTTACGAGTTGCTCAGAGTTAACAGCTGGAGGTTTTACTTTCTTTGGATCCTCGTGGAAAATGCTGCTTATTTCGCATTGCAAATTGAGGATCTCAGAGGAAGGAGGTTTCAGTGGGGCCTTTATGGTTCAGTTCTTTATTCCCAGCTCTTACCTGAGCCCAAGCATCTGACATGGAATGCCATTGGCACGTCTTACTGCTTGTGTGGAGTTCTGTTAAATCATCCGATAATTTTTGTCTACTCCTTAATAAGCTGCAGGTAGTGCCGCTTCAAATGCTGTGAACAGTTCTCAGTTTGGAAACACGATTTTGCAAAACCTGTTGGACCTCTGTTTATTCTGGAAAATGTCAAAACTTCATCCATTTCAAAGGCAGCTTCCTTACTGGGGCTTTTAAAGATTATTATTTTACTTAGCTAACTTCTCTGTCTCTCTGACAATTTAAATGACCTTTCTCGCAGGAGAATTAATTAGCAAGTTTGCCACGAGCCTTTGAAGATGAAGGTGTTACTTACAGGCTAACCAGGAGCTGTTAATAGGATTCAACATCTGTTTCTCCTGCCATGGAGCTGCCTTTGGTATGAAATCCATGGAAAAGGTGTGTTCAGCAAAGGCAGAAAGCTTCAGTAAAGCCATTTGATTCCATCAAATCAACCAGCCAAACTGCTATCCAGTCAGTCTTTGGGTTTAAGATGCTTTGAAAGAATTAAAAATCTGACTCTGTGTTGTTAAGTTTAGAAACTTCTGAAGCCAAGTTTTGTTTTGTAATTTCAAGTATTAATTTCAGACCACCAGTCTTCTCTGGTTGATTCTTCTTTGGCTGAAAATTCGAGTCTTACTAATGTTGTTAGAGCTAAGGCTGGAAAAACCAGAAAGTCACTTATTTTCAGTAAAAGCACAGTTGAAATTCTTTCCATGGAGCCCAGAAAGTTTAGGGGATCGGGGTGGATTACTCTTCCTGATGAAAACACAAAAAGCGTTCAAAAATGTGTATGAATAATTAATTCCTCATACCTTCTTTGATGTGTTAGCAAGTTGTTTACAACCCTACCTTGATTCTGTGGAATTGGATGTGTTGTTTGAATTATTTGCTGGAGTGATTTCCTTGAGAAGCCTTTAGACTGACCTGTGATTTGGGAGTAATGGATTGCAAGTGTTCGCTGCTAAACAAACATGTGCTTTGCTGCCTGTCGCTGTGCTGCTCTCGCTGGTGTCGGTCTCCAACATCCAGGGGCAGTGTTTGCAGCTTAAAATGCGTAGTTCACCTCTCACAAAGTTTGTTTCCACTTAAAATCTGATGATTCAGCGGAAACTCTCTGGTGTTCTAGCTTGGTGGGGTATTTATGAAAATCGAACTCAAAAAGGAGAAGTGGGCAGGCCAAATAAAAAAATTCGGGCTGCTCCTTTATGCAGCATAATCCAAGCCCTGTTTTTACAAAAATATTTGCAAAACCAAAAATTTTCTATTTGTATTGGCTGAACACTCCTTTTTTTTTTTTTTTGGTCATTCAGGTCAAATGGCATCAGATGCTTGACCTGCTGTAATATTGTTTGTTTGTTTCTCCCTGTTGGTTGGGAACCTCCAGGGTGAGGGGCTGAAGGAAGGAGATTCCAGTTTTGCTTGGAGGTTTTCGGGGAGGGTTCAGGCTCTGTGCTTGTCAGGACGGTCTTGGCTTTGGCCAAACGCTGTGCAGAGCAAGATTGTGTGCAAATTTTAAGCTTTGTTTAAGACCCAACAACAACATAATCTCTGCCCTAAGCAAGGCTGCATGCTCTGAAAGAATTCGAGTAATGTAAGCCTGCAACACTAGCACTCTCTCTCTCTCTGAAGCCTGTTAAACATAAAATCACAAAGGAAAAGGAAATTTAACTACAAATCACAAAGGAAAATGGAAGAAGACAGTAAATTATACTCCTTGGTGTCTAAATGCAGTTTAGATTGTGCAGGGGAATCCAGGAGTCAGACCGAGGGGGTTTTTAGGGACTTCTTTTAGCAGCCAGAGACAGAAAAGCCCTGTTTTCACCTGATTTTCCCAGCAGTCATTAGTATCAAGCCTGGGGCAGACACGAATCACCCACTGTCCCTTCAAAGTCGGGAGCTGCCGGGGCTCCCTGTTAGCAGGGACAGTAAAACATCTCTTTGCAGTTTCACACTCCTAATTTGACTCCGCTGGAGAAAGTCGGGCAGGAATTTACGGCAGACCAAGTCGGGTATATTCGAGTGTGTAATTTAAATAATAATTCAGCTGGATCAACAGGTGGCCTCGTTGTGAGGGATTGCTGTTTATTGTGGTTCTGAGGGGGTTTTGTGCTGCTGTTCTCAGCTCTCTGTGCTGGGTGTGCAACACGGAGCCCTCGTTAGACTTTATGGTGATGCTGAGCTGGAAATGCTGGGGAAAGAACCTGCCTGATGCCACCACTCATTCTGCAGCAGAAATCTGGAGAAATTTACAGCCCAGCCAAATGTGAGATATGAGGGCGAGTCATTCACACCAAGGAGCCAGAAAAGCTTTTTAAGAGCTCTCTGAGGCATTTTTCTCTCCCTTCTTCTGAAGACCCTGTAGACTGTTCTAACAGTAATGACTGGTTGCTGTTAAGGGTCTGTCAGTCAGCTACACATCCCAGAAAATAGCCATGTGCCTGTATTTCTGTGCCTTTAAAATAAATTTCATAGCTTGGGCTGTATTATGAAGAAAAAGAAAACCATCTCAGCCATGTGCTGATATTCGTTTTGCCTTCAGTGGTTTGGTGTTGGGAAAAATTAAATTAAGGAGCGTTGATACACCCAGGCAGAAGATTTATTACCCCACCAAATTCTGCTAAGAACACCTTAACAATGGGCACGAAGAGGTGGAACTCCAAAGACTTTTCTCTTTAAGGTCCAGGGATAATCAAGTAAACATCATAGCTCTGATTCTCCTTGGCATGTCATTTATTTCCTAGCCTCCTGTTGATATACACATCTGATTCTGATTGCTGTAGAAGATAAAACTAAAATTTGCTTTCCGTGCCACCTGTTGTTTTTTGGGGTTGTTTTTTCTCTTTGGCTAGGAGATGGCCTCCTTGTTAGACCTGAATTCTGTGCTTCAGCTTGCCATAATCATAGAGCCCATAGGATTTGTGTTCAAACCAGGCTCATAGCTTTGCTCCCTCACAGGGAGCAATTTCACTTCATGAAATCAGCTTTTAATTACCTAAAATTTGCCACAGGAAATTACTTTATGTTTTTTTAAATGCTTTTCCCCCTTAAAAGAAATGGGCTGTGGAAGGGAAAGCCCAGATTTAAAAACTGAAGGTTGGTTGTGTGTTGTCTGGGGGAGGAGATGGAAAGAGAGGGACTCCTACAATTCAGAGTGGATACAAAACAAGGATTGTGTGTGGACAACTCCTCTGTGTGTTTGCAGACATGCCACCCTATGTGCAGGAGAAGTGGCAGGACATTTTTGTTTTCTCTGTCTCAATTTTTGGGTTTTACAAGTTAGTGTGTCTCTCTTTCTTGCCAGGCAGCAGCCAACCAGGGATGACATTTTCATGCTTTATCGGGCTCTAATTATATTTTCAGTGGTCTTTGTTGTTACCAGAGAGAGCCCCAAAAGTTTCCCTGTGCTGCTGATGATAAACTGTGGCTCTCCTCACTCCTGCAGGTGGCTCAAAGGTTAATTCCAGCTGTTGAAGTAATGGGCACATCCAGAGAAAGCTTTCAGCAATAACTGGCATCTCACTGTTAAGTTTGTCTCTCTAACCTGAGTCTTGCTGAATTTTTTGGGTTTGTTTTTGAAGGCAGCACGTGTCAGTAAATACAACTGTGTAGGTAGACACACAGGATGAACAGGATAGAAGGTCTTTCCTTGGTAGGGTATATCACAGCCAAAGTGGCAAAGTAAAAAGAGTTTTTTAAAAAAAAGAAAGGAGGGGAGAGAAGAAAAGATTTAGAGAAATGTTCTATTTCGCTTCCCCTGAGCAAACATGTAATTTCCATGATTTCTTTTTAATGGCTCTCTCCTGAAAACTGGTAGGTCCTGATTTATGCAAAGCTGTAAAGGATCAGGTGGAGCCCTGCAGGACGCCGTTTACAGCTGCACGGATTGCAGCCCGTCCAATTTGTCTGGTGAAGTGTGAGCTCATGGCGCACATCACCCCAGACCATAAATTTCAGTGTTCAGCCCTTCTGTCTTGGGGCTGGGTCAGGGGAAAAAAAAAAAAAACCTGCCAGTGTGTGCAGATGCTCTGAAAGCCCAGCTTGCTTTCCCCTCGGTGAGCGTGAGGAGACATCACAGGCTCTTCGTGGCGAGGCAGATTCCCGCTCCTTGATAAACAGTCCAGATGTCCTCTCTTGAGGAGGAAAGTAACTAATTTTTTTGTTTGGATTCCTGCGAGAAGAAAAACGATACTTTACGGTGCTGGTTGTTCTGAGGTCGCTTGCATTAAAATTAGGTCATATTTTTTTGTCATGATGATACTTTGATCCAAGTAATAAACACAAAAGCTCTTTTGGGCCATTCTTAATTCCTAATCCTAGAGACCTGTTCTATTTCAACTTGTTTATACTTTTTTTTTTTTTTCATTAGTAATTCTTGAGTCAAACTTGTTTTATTAGACTTAAGTTAAAAAGCATACTAGGCTGGGGAACAAAAAAATAAAAAAATATCCATGCTTTATCATTAAGAGCACTTCATAAATACTCTTAATTAATGTCTTGGGATTCCAGACACCATACCCAGACAACTATAAATAAAAAGCATTGGCTCTTGGTGGGACAGACAGTAGTCAACAGAATGCAGGCATTACAGCTACTGATTAAAATTACCTTGGGCATGATTATCAAGGCTGAGCCTTTAACTGGACTGGAGGGTTTTTAAAGATGGGTATCAGGGAGGTTTCTAGGGCCTGGTTTTAAGCATGAGAACAGCACATGAAGTTGTGCTGCCTCTTCTGTCCTCAGGTTTCTGGTGTCTTCTGTAGCTTTTCTTTTTTGTGTGTGTGTTTCTTACCGGTTTCTTCATTGTTGTCTCTAATAGAGAACTTGGATACAAATTATGGCAGTTCAGAATCCTCACTGAGCCCCACACTAATTTCAGAGGCAGAGGATGATTTGGTTCTCCCTTCTAAATTATCTGTACGATATCCCTGTGGAAGTTTCAGTCTCAGAGTGAGCATCAGCTTTAAACTGGGCATGGCAATTGCATTTGACCTTTGACTGAGTGAATTTTATAACAAACCTCCTTATTTCTGTCCCTACAGAGTGCAAGTCTCGTGCAGTTACATTTGTCTCACACATTCACTTAACATTTTGATTTTTAGGCTTGGTACTATTTTTTTTTTTTTAAGCCACTAGTGTTTTACTATTTGGGCTTCTAACTTAGTAGCAGCATTTAGGATTTTTTTTTCTGTGGGCTGCAATATTCTGAATATTTGATTTGAGTGAATTCTACCAACGTGCTCGACTTGGAGCCAGGAGAGTGCATGGTTTGTCTGCTGCTTTGGATAAGTGAATCACATTTATATAACCTAAGTTAGTCTTGTCTTTGTTAATGCTTTGTGAGGGAACAACACATTTAATGAATTGGTGATGCTTCAGTGATTTAAGCTCATGAGAAGCTGGTGCTCTTAAACGTGGTGATGACACAGAGCTGCCAGCATCAGGATAGTTTATCTGCAGATAGTTTATCCGCCACATGCAGCCTGGAATCCCTTGTTGGGATACAAAATAAATCTCTGTGTATCCCTGCTCCCTAAGTTTCGTTGCGTTGCTTTTTCTTCTTCATTTCAGGCCATCAAATCTTCTCCTGGACCAAAGCAACGTGGACATTTCAGCCTTCCGTTCCACGGGGGATTGGCTCAATGGTTTTCGGACGGGGCAGTGCAAGGACATCTTCACGGGGGTGGAGTACAGCTCCTGCGACACAATAGCCAAGATTTCTACAGAGTGAGTTGGAATGGGCTCTGGCTCCTCCTCGTCTCTTGTGGCTGGAGTAACAAGGTTAAAACATAAGCGTAAGAGTAGCAAATGTTCTTGCACTTAAAGATACAAAAGCAAATGATTGTAGTTCGCTACAATTGCAGGAAACCTGTGCAAATGCCATGGTCCTGCAGCTTTCTCTCAAGGAAATTCCCTCTTTCTTCTAAACAGTAGCACCATTAGTCATCTGGTAAGCAGCACCACTTTATTTCACCCACAGTTTAGGGGTTTCTCTCTTGATTTTTTTATATTCTGCCTTTTATATGAGGGTTTCTTCACAGCTGGCACACGTGCCAATCTTTTCCTTTATTGCCAGTCCCATATTCCATCAAACCATTTGAGACAGTTCACACAGTCTGTAACTGTTTTCCCCCTGCATATTAATAATTATTCAGGGGCTGAACTCCCTCCTGCCTCCAGTTTTGACATTTAAGCATGATACAGTTGGAAGTTTACAACTGGCAATGTTATTACATTTTAAATGCAATCCACCTTTGTTCTAGTGATAAGAGAGGGTAGGGTATTATTCTTTCTGCACCTGAAAAGGCATCAAGTACAGTTATGATGTTAATGCCAGATGAAATCTTAATTCCTTGCTGGGCTAGCTGGATATGTAAGTTATGAAGAAGTAAGCAGCCGCGGTACCAACAGTTAAACACATCAATGCCATTAATTACTGCATTATTGCAACTATAAAAAGGGTGCTAATGGCCTTTTATAACAATTACCCTTTGGGGACAGTGCAGAAATCCTCTAGGAATGCCAAATTTCCTGTGAGCCACTGGTTAATTAGCCCTTCACAAGCGTGATACCACTTTGTGTTGTACAAGGTACAACTCTGGGAGACAGAGAGGGTATCTCACTCACACCATAATTCTTCTCTCTTTTCTTCCAGTGAGATGAAGAAAGTCGGAGTTACAGTTGTGGGGCCTCAGAAGAAGGTGGTTAGCAGTATCAAAGCTCTCGAAACTCACACCAAGAACAGCCCCGTTCCTGTGTAAGGGACCAGGATGACGTCGCTCAGGAGAGAAGAGCAGAGAATAAGTTCGTGTCACAGGTCAAAAGCCATGGCTGATAAACGGCAGAATTGAAAGGAGCTCTTGGCAACAGCTTTGGAGACCTAATGGTTGAGATTTCAAACCCACTGAGACACTCAAGTATTGAGTATAAATGCCTTAAATGTAGGAGCAAACTTTGTTTTCTATCTGTCAATCCTAAAGGGTGGGTGCTCTTGGCTGACTGTTAACGCAGATGATGAATTTCAAAAGAAAAAAAAAAAATCTGTTAAAAAAATCCTACCGAGTAAAAACCAGTCTTACTAAAACCTAGAGCCATTTGAATTTTGAGTGACTGAATAACACAAAAACTCAAACATGGACATAAAAGCTGTGTATTTGATCTATACAGCAAACAAGAAGAAAGAAAGACTTGCAGTATTTTTATACAGAAGAGATCTGTAACAGGTATTTTATTTCTTTAGAAGCAAGGAAAATAGAGGACTATACCTCACAACCTGTCTGGCCATATTTACTATAATGTCATTGTAACATGCTATTTCAGCTTCAGGAAGGAACACAGAAAAATAAAGTTTGAGTTAGTTGACAGAAGATTTTCACCATTATGTTAGCTTCCCTAACTGTGTTCATTTAAACAGAAACAAGTCTTAATTTTTAAAAGGCTTATTTATTTTCTTTGTTTTGTTTTGGTTTTCCATTATTGTTTATATTTATGCTTAAATACCTTAACCTGGCTGTATTATTGCCAAGTGCCAAATGTTATCAAAACTTTGTTGGTCCAACCTGAGAAATTGTCTGAGCGTTAACTATTAGATAATTTTATACTCACAACACATGAAATACAGAAGGAAAGAAAGATTTTTTTTTCTTTTTCCAGCTCTGACAGCAGACAAAGCATGTGAAGTTGTTGGGATTTCTTCCATTTGCTGTGAGTGGTATTTTAGGCCAGGCTTGAGTTTTGCCAGCTGTGTGTGCATCAGTCTCTAGATCAGTATCTGCCCCACTCAAGCACATCTCACTTTCCCCAAAAGCCTCTTTTCATGTCTTCATAAGCACCCCTATTCTCAGGTTGTGTTCAGGTGTTCCTGCCCAGGAAATATTAAAAAAGAGCCAGGGTTTTTACATCCTGCGTTAGCTGATGATGCTTTTTGAGTTCACTGGGAGATGTTCCACCTGGAAGGCTCTGGGAACTGGGAGGTGTCACTGCACCCACAGGGAGTTGTGCCGAGGTGATGACTCTCAGCCAAGGTGGAGTAAATTGTTCAAAAGGACGACTTAAGCTGTGAAATGGGGCTTTGGGTTGTAATTTTCCATGCATACACCCTGTCCAGCTGCTGCCATCCTGTAGGGGACCTGAATTTTTGGCACAGGCTCCCCCTGGGCAGGAAGAGGAACCTGTCATTAGGAGGGCACTCACCTCTCTCGGTGGAAAAAGGAAACTGGGAGGTGGCATTTGAGAGCCCACCCCCACCTTCAGCATTTTCCACGGAGCTTCCCAACTCCTAAGCTTAGGGAAGAATTTGTTTCTAGGGTTTGTGGGGCCTGAAATTGTTCTTTGTGGGTCTAGGACTTATGAAACACAGAGACACAACATTTAGCACACATTACTAATGAGAAGCAGAATTAGGGAGTTTTCCCTGAGTGCTGGCAGTGAGCAAACTGGAAAGGACTGGTTTTAAAACACACTCACAGGACAAAATAATTAGGAATACTTTCTGAAAGAAAAATGAGTGAGTTTTTAAAGTAAGTTGAAATTTAAAAAAGGAAAGAAAAAGAAAAATGGAAGAAAATTAAAATAAAGCATTCAAGATGTAAAGAACACTTCTCTTGATCTGCCATGATCCGTGGTGAAGTGCAGCACGCTGAGTAGAAAGCTGTGTTTTCCCTTGCTTAGTTCGTTCAGAATCTTTCTTTTCTTCAGGTTGAGATTGCTCTGAATCAGACACTACCAGTGAAGTTAAGCCACCCAAATCCATTTACCACCTTTAATCTGTGTGGGGACAGCTTTTTTTTACCACGTTCCTCGTGACGTTTCTCTTCAGCTTCATCCTGCTGCTGGAGGGTGGGGGCAAGGTGGGGGCAGACATCCCTGAAAACACTCCTGAAAACCCCAAAACCAGTTCTTAAGAGTTTTAGATGATGACTGAGAGCTTTGCACCAACCACCCTCGATTTCCTCCTGTCCTGGTGTCGTCGTGTTCCTTGCCCGCCGTTCAGGCACGCTCAGCATAAAGATTAAATCTCACTGATGCTTGGGAGGGGGGGAATAAAAAAAAAAAAGGAGTTTCAATTTTACTTTTCTTTGTTTTAAAGCACATTTATTTCTTTCCTCTCCCTGTCAAAAGGTACTGTAAGTAAGTGGCCTCTGTTGCAAGCATCCTATACTCCCGGTCCCTGTGTACATATGTGTACATAGCAGTGTACAATTCTTCATTGTGGAGTAGAGAAGCTAGAATTTGTGTGGCCATCTCCCTGTACAGGACTTGCATCATTTACTGGCATCAAGCAAAAGGCAACTGCTCATAAAAATGACATGCCCTATTATTGGTTTTGTATCTTCAAATATAGTTTCCATTTTTTTTTTATTTATTTCTGTTAACATATCTAGTTTTTTCGTGCTGTAACTTAGCATTCAATAAGCAATGTATAGATGTGATTTGATTGGCAATATGTATTTACTTTAACTTGTATTTCAAAGCATTACTTACTCATTTAGGTTATATATTGTGCAATTGTAGATGGCCTCTTACTAATGTAAAATGATTTGTAGTGGAAACATTTATATTTTTATAATAAACATAATGAAAGTATTTTTTACATACTGGAATACTGAGGTGATTGCTTGGAGGACAAAGTAAATTTATTTGATTAGTGTGATAAAATTGTAATGAAATATGGATAAATTCTGAGTGTTAAAGCATGGGTTCAGAGTGAAAGCTAGATATTGCCTATATTACCTATTAAAAGAAACAAGCAGTGCAGGTTTTAACCAAACAGACCAGCATTTGTGCTAAACTGACCTACATCAGTCAAAGACTTGACTTTCTCCATGGATACTGGAAATCATCACCTTCTACAGCCTGCCTCTGGGATATTGAAAAAGCTGTCATTTATTTTAGTTGTGTCAAGTATGTCCAAAATTTTGGTGGTTTTTTTTTTTTTCCTCCCTTGCCAGTGGACCTCTTTTTCATCTTATTACTATGTTGAATCAAGAAAAAGATGTACTTTTCAACAAAATAAAATAGCCCACAGCTTAACTGTAATTTAACCCCATGACCATTTCTTGCCTCTGAGTATCTGTATTAGATATTTTGCCCCTGTTTTATGTCCCCACCAGGTTGTTTCTGTATGCTTCACAGGAGCACAGGGTCTTTGAAAATGCCAACGTGCACAACTCAGGAATTCTTTCCCCAGAAAAAAACAGGAGTGGTTTGGATGTTTGCTGGTTCCTTGAATTGACAGGGTAATTTCTGTGCCACAAATGATTTTGCATGCTTTTGTATACTGCTCTGCTTACTGGTGCAAAACAATGAATGACATAACCTGTAAGTTGATAAATTTTATGCTCATGGTGTAAAATCCTTTTTTTTTTTTTTTTTTTTTCTTGGTATCTTCAATAGAAATGGGAATCCCAGGAAAGAGTGGCCCAGAATTGCGTTTGACTTTAAATAAGAACAGCTGGACTGAGTTCCCCTGGTTCCTCCTAGCACTGGTGTGCCTCGTGCTGTGCTCTGGGGGACACATATGGTACTATTTTTACTTCTAATGAGTGGGTTTATAAATTAATGCAATATTTGAAGGACAGGAGAGCAGCTCTGAGGGTCTAAACTGTGCAGTGTGCAAACCATTTTCACTGTGAGCAGCTTTCCCTTCGGCATCTGTGTTCCACTGACCTGTATCTGCCCCTTTATCTTTGCTGGGACGTGGTATTTGTTTTATATCCTAAAGGGCACAATGGCTTTTGGTGTTTTTATAACTGTTGCCTTTACTGTAAAGCAGTTTTAGTACTCACAGCCAGTTCTGGAATGGCAAGCAGGATGCATTTTGACATGAAGAGCAGGAGAACCTCGTTTCAGCTCAAATTTCAGGGGGTAAATTGCTGATTATGAGTTCCACAAGTTCAGATGTGCTTGTTGTGTTTTCTTAGTAGTGCCCAAAAGCTGCTTTTCCACTTTGCATTTCTTCTCAAGGATGATGGGCAGACCTAGATATCTACATCATGAAAAGCCCAAGCAGTGCCAAGTGAAATCAGACGATTATTTCTGCTGTCTCACATGTGCCACTCCTGTTAGTTTAGACGAATATCCATACTATTGACTTCCTTTCATTTTCTTTGCCACTCTAATTCCTCAAATCCTTCCCAAACTATCACTGAGTGGTCAGCAATTCCCCATTTAATATGTCTGTCCTTTTCAGCCCAACTCTTTGGCATTTCTTGATGAATTTTACTTCACCTAAATAAAAATATTTATCCTAGGAATATTTCTCTCGGCTCTGCTTCATTCCCCCGTACAAACATGAGCATGCTTTTCATTCCAGGTTACTAAAGCAAATGGTGAACAGCACAAAACAAAAAAGGACAGCTTTCTGCTGGCTTCTCCATTGTGTTTTTTTTTAGGAACCTCTGATAGAGGAAGAATACTCAGTACACAGAATTTTTCAGCTCACTCTGCTTTCCCATTAAAATGATTTCATAATAGCCCATATTTCCCCAGTTAGCTCATAAGAATGTCATGTGGGACAGCACCAGAAGTCTTAGTAAAGACAAGATAAATCACCTCTACTACTTTTTAGATTATCCTGTCACAGAAATGAATTAGATGCGTTTGACGTGATTTGTTTATTCTTGACAAATCTTAGTTGGTTTCTTAAGACCTTGTAATCCTGCAGCTGCTTAGAAATGTATTGTGTGATATATATATATATATATCTTTTTTGGGTATTTGAGGTTAGAATACCTACTCTGTAATTGCCTGGCTCTGCTTTTCTCCTCTTTTTTTAAAGCTGAAGATGATCTTTGCTCTTCTCCAGTTGCCTGCACTCCTCCAGGAGAATAACCAGTAGCTGCCCTTGCACTGGTCCCTGAATTTTCTGCAGCAAATCTCTCAGACTCTGCAAACCTGAATGCATCAATCACTCTGCCTGACTCCCAGGAGTCCTGCTTGTGAAACAGAAATAAAATACACACATGCAAATGTTTTTACTGCAATGACCAGGTGATGTTTTGAAGTTTTGCAACGAAGCAACTACTG